CTTCTTTGATCTCATTGGTAACCCAATCAATATTTAATAACATGCTATTCAGCTTCCAAGTGTTTCAGTATTTTGAGTTGTTTTTATTGTAGTTTATATCTAATATTATGCCCTTTTGGTCTGAAAAGATGCTTGGTATGATTTCAATCTTCTTGAATTTGGGGAGACTTTGTTTGTGACCCAATATGTGGTCTATTTTTGAATCTGTCCTATGAGCACTTGAGTAGAATGTATATTCCATGGCTTTGGGGTGAAGTGTTCTGAAGATGTCAATTAAGTCCATCTGATCTAGTGAGTCATTTAGGATTGCTGTTTCTTTGCTGATTGTGTGTCTAGAGGATTTATCCAGTGATATCAGTGGTATATTAAAGTCCCCTACTATGATTGTATTGTTGTCGATCTCTCCTTTGATATCTTCCAGGAGTTTTTTTACGTATTTGGGTGCTCCTGCATTGGGTGCATATATATTTATCAGGGTTATATCTTCTTGTTGTATTGATCCCTTTAGTATTATGAAGTGGCCTCCCTTATCTCTTGTTATGGTCTTCACTTTGAGGTCTATTTTGTCCGATATAAGTATAGCTACCCCAGCTTTCTTTTCATTTCCATATGCCTGAAATATATTTTTCCATCCCTTTACTTTCAGTCTGTGTGAGTCCCTTCTAATGAGGTGGGTCTCTTGTAGACAGCAAATGTATGGGTCATGTTTTTTTATCCATTCAGCCACCCGATGTGTTTTGATTGGAGCATTTATTCCATTTACATTTAAAGTTATTATTGAAAGGTACTTGTTTGCAGCCATTTCTATTTTTGTGTGGCTATTTTCTTTCTAAACTTTTTATTTCTTCTTTTTACACCAGTCCCTTTAGCATTCCTTGCATTGCTGGCTTGGTGGTGATAAACTCCCTTGGCCTTTTTTTGTCTGTGGAGCTTCTTATTTCCCCTTCAATTTTGAATGATAGCCTTGCTGGATAGAGTATTCTTGGATTCAGTCCTTTGCTTTGCATCACTTTGTAAATTTCTGTCCATTCTTTTCTGGCCTGATGTGTTTCTGTTGAGAAATCATTTGACAATCTAATGAGAGATCCCTTGTATGTAACTTTCCATCTCTCTCTTGCAGCCTGTAAGATTCTCTCTTTGTCCTGACCATTTGCCATGGTAATTATGCTGTGTCTTGGTGTGGGTCTTTTCAGGTTCACCTTGTTTGGGGCTCTCTGTGCTTGTCTGACTTTTTTCTTCCCCACTTCCGGGAAGTTTTCTGATATTATTTCTTCAAATAGGTTTTCTAATCCTTGTTCCTCTTTCTGTTGCTCTGGTACCCCTATTATTCGTATATTGTTTTGTTTCATGTTGTCCCAAAGCTCCCTTAGGCTCTCCTCCTGTCTTTTAATTTTTTTCTCCAATTGCAGTTCAGTTTGGGTGTGTTTTGCTTCCTTGTCTTCTAATTCACTAATTTGGTCCTCCGCTTCTCCTAGTCTACTATTGATACTTTCAATGGTGTTTTTTATTGCAGCTACATCACTCTTCATTTCTTCTTGGTTCTTACATAAGTTATTGATTTTTTTCATCTGTTTCTTCTTGCTTCTTGCATAAGTTGTTGATTTTTTCCTCCATCTGGTTTATGCACTCTAGGACCCTTATTCTGAATTCTTTTTATGTCATGGTGCATGCCTCTGTATCACTTAGCTGCTTCTCTGGCCAGTCCTCCTTTTCTTTCCTTTGGGGGGTTTCTTTGTCTACCCATGTTTGATCTCACGGACATATCTAGACATTGAGTCGTTCAGTGGCTGCTCCCTGGGTGGCAGTGGCTCCTCAGGCTGTGCTTGCTCCTCAGGCAGTTGTGGTAGCAGCTGCTCCTCAGTTTGCAGTAGCTCCACTGGTGGGTGCTGTTCACAGCTGTGGTGGCTCTTCTGGCTGGTGGGGGGAGGCTTCACATACAGCTGCTGTTCCTCAGAGAGAGTGTGTGGTGCTCAAGAGGCTGCTGTTGCTTGGATCTGCTGCGTTGATTTAAAGGCACAAAATACAGCACAACAAGACACAACGCACCAGGCACTGAACACAAATGTATTCACAATATTAATAACCCCAAATAAACGTGACCACCCCAGTTAAGAGAATTAGGGGATAAGGAAGAAAGAAGAGAAAAAGATAAAAGAGAAAAAAGAAAAGAAACAAAAGGAGTGCAAAAATGAAATTGGGAAAAAGGAGAGAGAAAAAATAAAACGAAAAGAGAGAATGAAGTAGAAGAGGGGAAGAGACTATTTATATGAGGAGAAAACTCTGATAGAACCACCACTAATCCCAACAAATTCCAGCAACAGATTCCTGGAGATGAATGCAAACTACAAACAACCAATAGTATCAAGTGAGGCAAGGGAAAACAGAAGCACAAGAATAACTAGAGGTGGGCGGGGGAGGGGGAGAAAAAAAAACAGCAGAAAAAGAAAAAGAAAAAGAAAAACAACCTCACAACCAATCCAAAAAAAAAAAAACCAATATACTCAACAATCATGCAAACAGCAACAAAACAATAGAAAGATAAAAGAAAAGAAAAGAAAATTTGGATAGTGAAGAAAGATAAGGGAGAGGTGTATAAGGTTTTAGAGCAGTGGATTGGAAATAGGATATAAAAGTAGGGTGAAATTTTGACTGGTGGTAAAAAGAAGGAATAAGGAAAATCTAAAGCAGGAATAGGGTAAGAGAAACAGTATAACAAAAGGGGAAAGTGAGGAAGAGGGTTTTAGCATAGAGGTAAAATTGAGGTAGATAAAAATGATGCTAAAGAAACGATGAAAATAGAATGTAGAACACTAATCCCAAAATAAAATAAAGAGAAAATAAAATGCCACTTAAAAAATGGTAAAATGGTAGCAGTAGTAATACTGGTTAAAAATAAAAATGTAGTAATTAAAAGGGTAAAATCAGGTGATGTAAAAAGAAAAAAAAATTGGTTTCTTAGTTAAAAGGTGAAAAAAGAATAAAAAAAAAATAAAAATTTGCAGTAGTGAAGGTCCTTCAGTTCCTCTACTCTTCAGTCTGGCTCGCCTTAGTCCTGCCAGGTATTCAGGAGAATGTTGAACTTCCCTGCGATACACTGTTCCTCCGTGTTATAAACCACAGTCCTGATTTTAAAGCAGGCCGTATTTGTGTCCCAGACTGCCTTAATTTGTATTTACCTAAGAGTCAGTTTGTGGTTCAGCCTCTGGGTGGCAGTGTTTCTGGATTGACCTACGAGGCTATACGGCCTCTCTATCCAGTAGCTTGGGTTTATTTTCTCTATTGCACTTAAAACTGGTTGGGGAAGTCCACTGCCCAGAGCTGGTTCTTTAATTGTTACCCTGCTCTGTGTAGTTGCTGGGACTGAAAGTCCCTCTATAGGCCAGACCCTGTTAACTCCCAGGGACTAATCAGATTATTTTAATCCTTCATCTAGTTTAGGGCGGAATCTAGGTGTGGCTGTGCTCCTTGCCTGGGGGCTGGGGGGAGGAATCCTAACCTCCGGAGAAAATGGCTGCCCTAGTCCTGGGCTCAGCGGTGACTCAGCACTCAATTTGCTGCCACCTCTCCTGGCACCCTTCTCTCCTCAGCCTCTCCTCAGATCCACTCGTCTGCACCTTCTCCCTCTCTTCAGCACAGGTGAGTGTCTGTATCCAAAATGTCCTATGAACAGGGTTCAGTGAAAACAAACAAACAAACACCGGCCACGGAAACGGGGAAGGCTGAGTCTCTGTAAGCTCTTCTCTTACCGGCACTACATGGTCTGGTCAGCTCTTCAGGCTGCCCCTTTTAAGCTCAGTCCTCCGTAATTACAGAACCCAGATCTCAAATCCCCCGGCACCAACAGTCCCTCGGCTCTCCTTTCCCCAGTCAGGGGCTGTGCCTGTCCCAAGAGATGCGGCTGTCTGCCACACAGTCTCCTTCTGCCCCTCTGGGCTCAGAGGCCTGGCAAACTTTCCTGCCCAGATCCCTGGTTTTTTACCTTTCCAGGGGAGCTCTGCCTTTCCCGGCTGTAAACTGTCTCACCAGCTGACAGTTTCGCCAATTCGGGGTGGCTGTTATTAGTTTCAGCTGCTTACTCCATTTGCTCCCAGACAAGACCTGGGACGCGTCTGCCTATACTCTGGCCATCTTGAATCTCCTGAAATTTCTTATAATTATTTAAAAATAATGCCCTTATAAATCTTGCCACCTACGTAATATATTTTTCGTTTATTATTTTAAATCATATATTGACTCTATATTTATAATTTCACATAAGCTATGAACTTCATAGTTTACTAGCACTTTCTGAGATTCTTATGTTATTCACATTAAAATAAATAAACATAACATTGTTTTATTGGTCTTCTTGTAAAGTAGTTACTCATAAAATACACTTAAATGTATAGAGGAGTTCGACACATTTTAAAATAGAAGTTTTTAATTTTAGAACAGCTTTAAATGTATAGAAAAGTTGCTTCCTATTATCAACATTTCATATTATTATGGTACATTTGTCACAATTAATGAACCAACAATGATGCATTGTTATTAACTGAACTCTATTTCATTCCAGTTTCACCAAGGTATTAAGGTTCTCCAGAGAACTGGAACCAATAAGATGCATATATCCAGGTCTACAGCACATCTTTATCCTTACTTACAGCTTTACATAGGTATAGAGAGAGAGATAGGTGGCTAGCACTTGTCTGGACAGACCTTCCCACTCAGTCAGCACGGGGAGGGGGAAGGCCAGGCCCTTGCTCCCTGGAGGCCAGGAGAGGCCCCTGGAGCTGGTGCCAAGAGGCTGAGCGACCTTCAGCCAAAGCTCAGGTCACGGGAATGTGAAATCTGGCCTTTGGCGGCCGGAAGGGGAACCGCGTGCTCTCCCGGAGGTCAGAGTCCTGGGAAAGGGGGAGGTGGGGAGGTGGGAAGTGGGGGGGATGGGGGCGGGGAGCCTGCCCAGGTTTGGGAAGAGGGGGCGCTGGGGACCCACAGCCAGGACCAACCCGACCTCCTACACGGCGACCCACCCGGGGAGGAGGAGGCAAAGGCGTGCGGAGGGGACGGAGGTGTCGCCCCGCCGCACAGGAGTCCGGCCCTGGCGGGGCCTCCGGATCTGGCGCGGGGAGCCGTCCTGCGCGCCCGGCGAGCCGCCTCACCCACGGGCCGCGCCGCCCCGGCCGGGAGCGCCCCTGGCCGCGCCGCTGGAGGCTCGCGGTTCCCGGCCGCGGCTCGGCCGCCTGTGCGGGGTTAGCCGGGCGGGGGGCGCGGCGCTGGGCGGGCGGGGAGCCGAGGTCCCGGGGGCGCGGGGAAGCGGGGCCCGCCGCCTGCAGGGGCTCCGCGCGGGGTGTGGGCGCGCCGGGGCGCCCAGGCCTGGAGGCGCGGGCCCGCCCGGGACACGCGAGCGCAGGCCTGGGGCTGATCGTGATTGGGTGAGTCCTGATCTGGGAAGGGAAGTGGCTGAACGCTGGCGTGTGATGTTTGTGCAGTGTGCGTGATTTGTTTTCTGCCTGCAAAGCTGGAATCCATCTCTTCTGTTCCCGCATCCATTCATGACATTCTCGTGCTCACAGCTCGCGGGCCGCCCAGGGGAAGTCGCTCACTGGCTCTCAGAAGCATCCATGACATCTGATTTGACTTCTGCAATCCCCAGCCCAGGTTGCTTCTAGCAGGTCCTGTGTTAAGTCAGGACAGCCTGGGTGTTTTGTAGGGAGGGGCAGGTTGGCGAAGGCCAGTTCATTCCAGAAAGTCACCCTGCATTTCAGCCCATGCAGCATACAGGGCTCATTTCAGACAACCCTTCTTAACAGGAATACACAATTGAAGCTGCCGTGGCTGTTGAAGACTTGAATTTCTACAGGCACTGGTTTGTGGGCGATCAGGAGGCAGCTTTTGCAAAGTAAAAGTAGATGATTCTGTCATTTCCTTGACAACTAGAATGGAGTGACTCATGGAGACTGGGACTCGGCCTTAACTTTGATACATCAACAAATTAATCCGCTGTGGTTCAGTTGTTGCACTTCCGATTACACCAAAAAGTAGGTCCTGTCTGCAAATGAACAGTCCTAAATGTACCCACTGAGCGGAATTTTTTCATCTCTAAATATAAGGAACTACCATAGAACGGTTCTGTGGCGACGTGGTTTGTAATTAAAGCTTAAACTCTCCACCACATCAAGTTTTAAGGTTTGTAGGACGCATCCTGTAAGTTGTGTACATTTTCCTAGACTGTAGGGCTGATGTAGGAGTTGATCATTCACAGGGAATTAAAGATGTTCCGTATATTGCATGAAAGAACAGCACAATAATGCATGCCTGGGAGACAGAGAAACCAACGAGGCAAAACAAGACATAAAAAGAAAAACAGAAAGTAAATGTTACAGATTCTGTTTTTAGTTTACAATGTCAGTAACCTGTGGTTCGTGGAAAGACCAGCTCCATCCCTGTTGTCCTTGTGACCTTGGGCAGTCATTCTCCTGAATTCTGTGGTCAAATGTATAAGCCATTACACTGAACCTGGAAGTCCAAGAAGTTCCACAGACGTCCAGAGACTTTGAAGACAGGGGGAAGAGCAGAGGAGGAAGTTGGAGAAATGGTCTGAAAGTCGTTTCAAGGCGTCCATTTTCTTGTAATCCCCACCCCCACCCCCATACCTGGCCAGCACGCCTGTCTTGGAGATAGATTACTTGGCCATAAAAAAGAGAACTCTTACCATTTACAGATACATGGATGGCCCTAGAGGGTATTATGCTAAGTGAAATAAGTCAGAGAAAAAGACAAATAACATATGATTTCACTTATATCTTTAATCTAAAGAGCAAAGTAAACAAACAAAAGAGAAACAGACTCACAGATGCAGAGAACAAGCTGATGGTTGCCAGATGGGAGGTGGGTTGGAGGGCTGGGTGAGGAAGGTGGAGGGATTAAGAAGTACAAATTCATGGGTGTTAGGTACAGCACAGGGAATATTGTCAGTAATATTGTAATAAGTAGATATGGTGCCAGGTGGGTACTTGAAATGTCAGGGGATCACTTTGTAAGGTACATAAATGTCTAACCACTATGCGTACACCTGAAACTAATATAATACTGACAGTCAATTGTAATTGAAAAATTTAAAAAGTTTAAAGAAATAAAAACAAACAAAAAGAGAGATGCATACTAAGAAATGTTCTGGGAAGTGCAAGTTAACAGGAACTGTTTTCCTAGGGTAGCATTTGCTAATAATAATAGCAGTGAGCAAGGTCAACCTGATCTATCTATAAAGTACAGCAATTTTCAACCTTTTTCATCTGATGGCACATAAACTAATTACTGAAATTCTGCAGCACAACAAAAAATATGTTTTTTGCTGATCTGACAATAAAATAAATATAATGTTGATTCCTTCACATTGGATGGCTATGTAGCATGTGTGTGCACATGTGTGGGTGTAGCGGGACATGGCAGGAAGGAGGGAGCAACGTTATACAAAAGGAAATTCTAAAAGTCTTAATGAATAAAATTATTACATTAGAAATACTTTTAATATTTTGTTTTATTTTTCAGAAGAGGACTGTCAGAAGGATCTAGGAAACACAATTTTTCCCTAAAAAGCAAAGATCCTTTACCTACACATTTTACAAGAAATGTGCAGAAAGCCATTGATAAATATACCTGGTAAGTATTAACCTATGAAACACTTCTGATTGCAAAACCAAAACATGCCCATAATGAATATGGAAAACAAAATTGGAGATTGGCCGTGAATTTCTAAAAGTAAACAAGCAGTTTTATTTTCCGATAAAACTAAAATTAGTGAAATGTTACATTGCATCAGTATTTTAAAATTCTGTGTGCTGTGAACTTGACCAATATATTTAAAGAAAGAAAGAGGAAGTGGCTCAGAGAAGTAAAACCAGTTTCCAGCCCAACCTCTTCCCAGGAAATATTATTTATGTTGCTTCCGTTTGTTCCTGCAGTGAGTCCGTGTCATCGTTTTCATCCAGTGGAAGCCCCACACCCACAGAAGCCCACAGCTCTTGGTCCGGGTCTGGATCGCAGAGTTCGACCTCGACCACGGGTGTATCTACCGAAAGGAGCTCCATTTGCTCATGGAGAGATGAAGTATGTCTCAGAATACTTTGGATAAGTGCATGGTTACAATGTGTGAACAGTGGCTTTCTTATTTTTTAAAATTGTTTTAATTTTTACAATACATTTTTATTGACTTCAGGGAGGAAGGGAGAGGGAGACGAAGATAGAAACATCATTGATGAGAGACAATCATTGATCAGCTGCCACCTGCACACCCCCTAGTGGAGCACAACTCTGGTATGTGCCCTTGACAGGAATCAAACCCAGGACCCTTCAGTCTATAGGCTGATGCTCTATCCACTGAGCAAAACTGTTTAGGGCTCTCTCTCTCTCTCTCTCTCTCTCTCTCTCTCTCTCTCTCTCTCTCTCTCTCTCTCTCTTTCATGTTTTTATTGATTTGAGAGAGAGAGGAAAAGAGAAGGAGAGAGAGAGAAACATCCGTGAGAGAGAATTGATTGTCTACTTCCTGCACCCCCCCTACTGGGGATGGAGCCTGCAACTAGGGCATGTGTCCTGACAGGGAATGAACCAGTGCATAGAATGACACTCAACCAACTGAGCCACACAAGCCAAGGCTGCTTTCTTCTTATTATTTTTAAAAATTATTTATTTATTTATTTATTTATTTAAAAATCTATATTTTTATTGATTTCAGAGAGGAAGGGAGAGGGAAAGAGAGATAGAAACATCAGTGATGATAGAGAATCATTGATTGGCTGCCTCCTGCACATCCCACACTGGGGATCAAGCTCACAACCCGGGCATGTACCCTTGACTACAATCAAACCCAGGAGCCTTTAGTCTGCAGGCCAACGCTCTATCCAGTGAGCCAAACTGGCCAGGGCTGCTTTCTTATTTTTAAAAATATCTTTTTTACCAATTTTGAAAGCATTACCTATAAAACACATGCATAGCCATACATATAAAATCATTTCTATGTCACATGTAAAATCTTAAAAATACAGAACATATAAGGAAAAACAAAAATAACTTATATTTCCATAACTCAAAGTCTCGGCTATTAATAGTTTTGTTTTTTCTACTTCCTTCCCCTCCCTCTCGGTGTGTTACATTTAATTTTTTATATGAGACTAGAGGCCTGGTGCACAAAATTCATGCACAGGAGGGGGTTTCCGCTCAGGCCAGCCTATACCCTCTCCAATCCGGGACCCCTTGGGGGATGTTCGACGGCTGGTTTAGGCCCGATCCCCAGGATCAGCAGTCACACATCCCTCTCACAATCCTGGAGCCCATCCTGGCTCCTAATCCCTCACCTGCCTACCTCCCTGGTCACCCCTAACTGCCCCCCGCTGCCAGCCATGTTGCCGCCAACTGCCCCCTCCCTGCCGGCCTGGTTGCTCCTAACTGACCCCATGCTGGCCTGGTCACCCCTTACTGCCCCCCCCCCCCCCCCGCTGAACTGGTCACCCCCAAATGCACCCCTCCACGAGCCTGGTCGCCCCTAACTGCCTGCCCCTGCTGGCCTGGTTGCCCCACGCAGCCTGCTGTTCAGTTGTTTGGTTGTCCCTCACTGACCTCCCTGCCGGCCTGGTCGCCTCATGCTGCCTGCTTGTTCAGCCATTTGGTTGTTCCTCACTAACGCCCCCCCTGCCCCTTAGCCTGCACCCCACACAACCTGGTGCTCTGTCCTTTGGACGTCTCTCATTAACCCCCCTGCTGACCTGGTCACCCCACAGAAGCTGCTGTTCAGTCACTTGGTTGTCCCTCAGTAACCCCCCTACGGGGCTGGTCATAGGCAGCCATCTTGTGAGGGTGTGAGGGTTAATTTTCATATTACCTCTTTATTATATAGTATCTATGGCTGGAAATTCAGGGCAGATGCTAACAGAAGGAACTCAAGTGGAAAACTTGGGTGAAGTAAAAATTTAAAAAATCGCCCTGGTTAGAGGATTTCTAAGCAGATGTTTTACTTTCACCTTCTAAGTGTTGTGGAAACTGTTAACTTTGACCTTATCTTTGTCATTTTTGGGGGTGGGGTTTGGAGCCAAGCAAGCTTCTAATCTACAGCTCTGTTGGGTGCTCTGCTGATTGCACAGCCCCCTGCCCCTGTAGCCCCTCAAGTGCCCCTGAGCATCCCGGACAAGGCCTTTTGTAAAGCCCTTGTGACTGGGAGCCTCCACTGTAGCCCGTGGGTGTTCTGTCTTCTGCACTTTCTTGTTTTCTGTTTTTCTTTGCTCTCTTTAAAAGCAGTTCTCCACTTGCCCCTCTTCCTCCTACCAACTTACAGCAGCGATTTGCAAAGTGTGGGAGGGGACGCTGGGAGGGAGTCAGCTCTGAGTCACTCAGGACCTCTTCAGAGATGTGCTCTCACTTCTGATAAGCAGCCCCACCTCACGCCCACTCCCTGCCACCCCCACTCGCACTCTGCTCATGAGTGTACAGGTGGGAAGAAGGCTGAGAGTCATGGCTTCACACTGTCCAAACTCTAGATTTTCATGTAATTATCCAGAGAGACCCTTATGGCTTCCATTTATAGAATGCACATTACTCCAGAACCTACAGTTGCTTTTAAACACTTTTATTTATTTACTTTTTGATGGAGAATATTTGCAAAAGCAGCCAAATGCAATCGAGAGAAAATGGAAAGTAAGCCCTCTCCCAGGCTGTACCCAGGCAATTCCCTCCTAAGAGGCATATGTTATTATTGATTTTCTACCTATTTGCATTTTAAAAGAGCATTCAACTCCCTTGCAACCAGGGATTCTAGTTTATTATCAATTGGAGGGAAGAAGTAGCAGAAAATATTGACTAGCATTCTATGAAAATCAGCCTGAGTAAACCATTTGGATCAGGTATGTCGGACTGAATATGCACTTTGTTGCCCTGAGCTGTGGATTAGATTTCAGGTGCACACATCCCTGGAAGAAAAGATAACCAGGCGCTTGCTCTGGAGGCTGCCTGGTCAGTGTTGGTTCTCCTAATTCTGGTAAAGTTCACATTCTCCTCCTTGGACCTGAGGGCTGTAGGACTGTTGCCTCCCAACCGTGGAGAACATGTAGAAAGGCTGAGAGGTTTTCTTATCCACATTTCACTGTAGCCAAGTCCAAGAACCTCTTTAGGTCAGGCAGGAAAAAATAATACTCTGGCCTCACCCTGATAATCCCACCTCAGGATTTTTTTTCATTGATTGAAAGAATGTGAATGGCCCTTTCTATAAGAGCCATTTTCCTTTTCAGTGGTATCATCAGAGAAAGAAATAGTTTGATCTTTGCAGATGTACTTAGATGTGGTCTCACTCCACCATATGAGAGACATATGTCTGCATATTTATTTGTGTGTGTGTGTGTGTGTGTGTGTGTGTGTGTGTGTAAGTGACTGGTTGAACGTTTGACCAGTCGACCATTTAACTGGTTGCTATGACACACACTGACCATCAGAGGGCAGATGCTCAATGAAGGAACTGCCCCCTGCTGGTAAGTGCGCTCCCACAGCAGGAGCGCCGCTCAGCTGATGGGTGACAGATGCCCGGCTCATGGCTGGTGAGTGCAGCTGCAGTGGCTGGAGCCTCTCCTGCCTCTATGGCAGAGCTACCAAGCAGAGACAGCGGCAGATGCAGCGGAGCCAGGGTGAGTGGGAGAGGCACAGAACCCACCCCGGGCTCAGACTCCTCCCTGCCTGCCGCTTCGTGTACTACTGTATCCCTCAGGGGTTCTGTCAGGGCCAGCCTGACAAGTTTGAGCCAGACTAGGCAGGGAGGTGGGAATTGAAAAAAGAAAGAAAGACAAGAAAGCGGGGTCAGGAGGACTCCAGCTCTCGAAGAACTGAAGTAACTTTATTAGCCACACAATCCTATTTATACACAATGCACTGAATAGGAGGTCTGTCAAGAGGAATGTACTCTTTGTTCCTCTTAATCTCTAAGGGAGAGACACAGCAGAAGGACAAGTTCTCAGTACAGCAAATCTCAGTAAATAGTTACAGACTTCTTGGTAAGCTATGAAAGGCTGTTCTCATTCTACAAATGTTGCTCTCATTCTACTGATAATCGCCATCCAAACAAGCCTGGGAAAACTGTGTGGGTAAGGGTCCCAGCCTTGCTAGCACCTACATGTGCAAGGACCTTGCCAGCTTACATCTGGCCCCCAACAGGTTCCTGTGGGGATCATGCTGAAACCGGCAGTCTGATATCCCTTGAGAGGCCCCAGATTGCGAGAGGGCGCAGGCCAGGGTGAGGCACAAATTCGTGCACTGGGCCTCTAGTGTGTGTGTGTGTGTGTGTGTGTGTGTGTGTGTGTGTGTGTGTGTATACATATATATATATATGTATATATATATATATATTAGAGTCATGGCTTCACACTGTCCAAATATATGTGTGTGTGAGTATGTGTGTGTGTGTGTGTGTGTGTGTGTGTGTGTGTGTGTGTGTAAGTATCTATATTAATATCTGTGTCAGTATGTATACCTATTACCTATATCTATCACTATATCTATGTAAAGATCTGAAATATGTCTCATAACTCATGTAGCAGATGATCTCTACTTAATAGTTACAGAAACTGTGGGTCAGAGTGGGATGCAATTTATCAGAAGGGTAAAAATTGCAGCACTGGTGTGTCTGACCACAAAATCCACTTATTTCTACTTTGTCATAATGGGTGCTTTAAATATGTTAGCATCATGGATTACGAAGCTGTTATGTCTACAACTTTTAGTTATGCAACTAAATGTGCATTTCTGTTTTAGGAGTTTGCCAAAATTTCTGAGAAGTGGTTAGCTCATCCTCAGAACAAATGCAAGAATGGCAGATCACCGTTTACCTCTGTGTTCACTAGTATGTGAGCAACACGTGTGTGTTCTCAGTACTGAAAGTAGGGCACAGCTTGGGGGTGGAAGAGGGACAAAGTAATTATTTGCTGAATGACTAGAAAGATGAACCTTACCATTGCGCCAAGATTCCTTATGTAGGAAGGATCACTTGTTGTTTTTATATCAAAGATGGAGACTATAGATTGGATATAAAGGGAATTTTTTCTTCTTTCAACTACTCAGCCAAACTGCTTAGGGGGAAATGCATATAGGTTCTCCGAAGTTCCTCTGTATTGTGCCCGGGGAGGTAAATGAGAATATCCATACAGATATCAGCAGATCTTCTGGTGACATCCACTAGATACCTTTAAAAAATTCTTGACTAGGTGGGTTTTTATCTTTTCTTTTTAGTCCTCTATAAGCCTCCGCCTCAGAGAATGCAATCAAAGGGTAAGGTTTGGTATACAGAATCCATGGTCAGATTGGAGGAACTGCTTTCGGCTGTTCAGGTGTTTGGCCAGTAGGAGGCAATAACATGTAGATTGAAATGCCCTCAGCTGTCTGGCAGCAAGCAATCATTTATGCATCCTTTTCAGGTTTGGGGAAATGCCCTTAGCCATTTCTAACAGGCAATAACACATGTGATTCAGCCCTTGCTGGGTCCCCAAGTTCCATCAACGTTTTGATGAAACTCTTCCATTCATGACATGCTGGAATTAGCCTCCCGCACTTTTCCATCTCATGGCACATGTAAACTAATTACTAAAATTCTGCGGCACACCAAAAATATATTTTTTGCTGATGTGACAATAAAAATAAGTGTAATTTTGAATCATTCACAACCGATAGCTATTGTTGTGCTGGCTATTGTCATTTTTTTATTTGACAATCTAAGGGAAAAGAAGTCAGTGTCCCTGACTAAACAGGCAGGTATGACATGTTTTAAAAATTCATGTGGCAAAAAATATATATACATTTCTTGATGTGCCGCAGAATTTTAGTAATTAGTTTACATGTGCCAGGAGACAAAAACTGTTTAAAACCACTGCCCTAGATGTAAGGATCTGATAGACCTTATCTCCAGATGACTGTTATCATTCTGTCTTGCCTAGACAATCAAACATATTGAGTCAGTGGCTTAGACGCCTGAGAACATGGCCTCAAGTCTGTCAGTGGCAAGAACAGTCTGGCCTCTCCCTGAAAGCCTGTGGTTTTTTGTCATGCCAGGATACTTCCCATGTGTCAGTATGTTCCTTAAAATAGTATTTTACATGACTTTTAATGTTACAAAACATTTTACCTTTTCCAATAAAAATATGAATAGTTTTCTCTTTTTTTAACCTTGCAGAGTATTAGGAAGACAGATCATCCTGCCAACCGGTGAAGGGGTCTGCCACTTCCAGGGCAGCGAGCCTCACTCTGCAGGTCACGAATCCTCCCCAGACGTTCGTGAACACAGCAGCCACATCAGGCAGTATGTTCCTACAAACTGGTTCCAAAAGGTAGTTTTAATGGCATTTTAATTACACTTTTTCATGTCTGTCCCAGCTGTGAGCCTCGGCTCCACCACTTTATATGTTTAAATTTCACTGAAGGGCAGCTACAGAGCATTATTTTTATAAGATGCTTCTGATTCCAGATGATGATGATGATGATATGATGATGATGATGATGATGATGATGATGATTGTGTGTGTTTAATACCGATATCAAGGGAGTTAAAATATATTTTTATTGATTTCAGAGAGGAATGGAGAGGGAGAGAGAGATAGAAACATCTGTGACGAGATAGTCATTGATCAGCTGCTTCCTGCTCAGCCCACATTGGAGACTGAGCCCACAACTTGGACATGTGCCCTGACCGGGAATCGAACTGTGACCTCTTAGTTCATAGGTTAATGCTCAACCACTGAGCCACACTGGCTGGTCAAGGGAGATACCTTTTCAATCTTCGTTTCAAAGAATTTCTGAAAGGTGAGCTAGATACAAAATCAAAACTATTGGATCCTAAGACCCAAGGCAGTAGCAGCAGAAGGACTGAAACTCCAGCCATTTTCTTTTGGTCACTAACAGATTTCAATGAATGCCTCCATACCGTCACATATACTTGGGACGTGCCATGACATCCTTTCATTGTAGCAAAGAGGATGCAAATTCATAGAATAATGTAGGCTTCCAAGAAGCCCTTACAATGTTAGATGATGCCCGTGTGAAAATGTTGCTTCTAAGAATGACTTTTGTTAAATGTAATATTTAGTGACTTTTGCATCTGGGACTCTGTGCTTTCTGGATCATTTAAAGACCTACCATAATCATGCACACATTGTATTCTTGACGCTCTACAAGCTCCCATGGAGAATCTGCTTTCCCTGTAGGCTGTGCATCTCCGGCTCTCAAGTACTCCCAGCAGCACTTGCAGCCCCGGCCCTGACAGATGCTGACTGCACAGAAGTAGCCGACCTAGCAGCATGTTCATCCCTGCAGGAAGAGGTCTATGATGTGGATGGAAAAATCGAAGAATATTTCGCTTTCGACTGAAAAGAAGAGTGAGTAGAATTTTATTTGGCACTGACTTAATGGTTTCATAATATTAATTTATTTGGTATGTAGTTTGATTACATGCTCATTTAGTGTATATTTCACTTTCCAGAAGATTTTCCATTCTTTGGAGAGTATTGTGCTCTCAAAAGCTTTCAGGTTCCTGGCAGGAAATGTCTAGGCTAGAAGACTGCTTCCCTTTCTTGTCTTTTTTAAAATACATTTTTATTGATTTCAGAGAGGAAGGGAAAGGGAGAGAGAGAGAAACAGCAATGACGGGAGAGAATCACTGATTGGCTGCCTTCTGCGTGCCCCATTCTGGGGATCGAGCCTGCAACCCAGGCATGTGCCCTGACGAGGAGTTGAACCGTGACCTCCAGGTTCTCAAGTAGACGCTCAACCACTGAGCCACGCCAGCCAGGCTGTTTTTGACAATATGGTACAGATAGAAAGCAAGAGTTGTGTTTAGCATAATGGTGAACATGCCTTGGTGCCCAAGAGCTCCTGGTATCCTATACCTGGCTGTACAGAGGGCAAAGGTCCAGTTTCAGCACTAAATGCATATTTGGTTCTTAAACAAAAGCCACACATATTATATACTAAAATGTGATGGAAAATTGGTACGTTAAAAAATAATGCACTGTTTTAAAAAAGAGTGTGATGTTTATTTATATGTGTATAATACACATTGATGAATGCGTGTTAAGTAGATAGGTAGCATTATTTACCTTTAATCCTTGATTCTTTTAGTAATTAGGATGGATTTTGTCCTTAGTGACGATGAACACCTTGAACAGAAATCAGCTCACCACTTTGGGATGCGGCACAAGCACGGACTTCCTCCCATTTCCCCTCATGACTGTATCAAAGACGCTGTGGCCGTAGAAATGTTTGATCACATCTGGACAAATGTGGTAGAAATACTGGAAGAGCTGATTAGAAAAAACTGGGAAGTTACACTCACAGGTACTTATTTGGTGAACTTGACCTAATAAAAAGAAAGACAAAGACCCGTGCCCTAGATGGTTTGGCTCAGTGGATAGCATGTCAGCCTGCCGACTGAAGGGTTAATTCTGGTCAAGGGCATATGCCTGGGTTGCAGGCTCGATCCCTAGTAGGGGGCATGCAGGAGGCAGCTGATCAATGATTCTTTTCCATAATTGATTTTTCTATCTCTCTTCCTCTCCCTTCCTCTTTGAAATCAATAAAAATATATTAAAGAAAAAAGAAAGAAAAAGAGGCCTAGTTTGTCAGTGCTGTGCCCCACCCAGCCTGGCCGTACGTAGGGCATGATTGGGGTGAGAGGGACAGGGATTTTCTGCCTTCATTCACAAGTGATCTTTAATCACTTCAAAAAGGACATTATCCTTTTTGAGTCGTAAAAATGATATACTAGTACAGTAGGTCCTCAGGTTATGTTGGAGATCCATTCCTACTGCATGATATAACGCTATTATGTAAGTCAGAACCACCTACATAAGCACCTGCGTCACTCAGATGGAGCACATACACAGCAGTAATGAAGTGAAACAGTAAAAAAAATTTAAAAGAAAGATAACAATTCCTGACCTTTACTTGTGGTAAATAATAAAAAAAAAATTAAAGCACATATGTACATATGTCGAAATGATGGAACTTTTTTTTTAATAAATAAATGAGAGATGGTGACTTATCCACGAAATGATGTACATCGAGTCCGACGTAACATGAGGACTGTCTGTACATATGCTCTAGGGGAAAAAACACACAGAAATATACAAGAAAGAAGCTAGAGGTCATATTTTTAAAAATGTATTATGGAAAAAAAATCAAACAAAAACCTTACCTAACTAATCTCTAATAATGGGATATTAGCTTTTTATTGTTTATGATGTTATTTGTAAAGTAAAATGTAAACATAGATTATTTAATAATCATTTCATTTAACTTTATAAAATGTTTTCTAAATTAGTTGAAACTGAGCAGAAGCAAATCTATAATAATACAAAAGCATAATATATTAATTAGATGTACAGCCAAATGACCTTCCGGACGTCATTCCAGATGTCCTTCTGGACTAAGCTGCGCCAGCAGGGGCTGAGGCAGAGGAGGTTAGGGGCAATCAGGCAGGCAGAACAGTTAGGGGCGATCAGGTGGGCAGGCAGAGTGGCTAGGGTCGATCAGGCAGGCAGGTGAGCAGTTAGAGGCAATCAGGCAGGCAGGCAGGTAAGCGGTTGGGTGCCAGCAATCCTGGATTTTGAGAGAGATGTCTGACTGCCAGTTTAGGCCGGCAGGGATCAGACCTAAACTGGCAGTCAGACATCCCCTGAGGGGTCCTGGATTGCGAGAGGGTGCAGCCCAGCCTGAGGGACCCACCCCCATCCAGTGCACAAATTTCTTGCAACAGGCCTCTAGTCATAGAAATGTTAGTGGTGCATGGTGCTATGTGATCAATTTATATAATCCTATCTAATAAAGAGGGAATATGCTAATTGACCCTCACGCCGTCGCAAAGATAGTGGTGACAACAGCCAATAAGGAGGGAATATGTTAATTGACTGCCACACCCTCAAAGATGGCAGTGCCCATGGGCAATAAGGAGGTAATATGCTAATTAACTACTCTGCCCTCAAAGATGGTGGCACCCACAGGCAATAGGAGAGAATATGCTAATTGACTATCCCACCCTCAAAGATGGTGATGCCCACAGCCATAAGGAGGGAATATGCTAATTGACTGCCACACCCTCAAAGATGGCGGTGCCCACAGCCAATAAGGAGGGAATGTGCTAATTGACTGCCATGCCCTCAAAACTGGTGGCGCCCACAGCCACAAGATGGCAGTGTCCAGTCCCCTCAGCCCCACCGGGGCGCCTGCCTCCAGAGTCCCCCAGTCCCCTCAGCCTCCCAGTCACCAAGGGCAGGCCCGAGGTGCAGGCAAGCCTCAGCTGTTGGCTACCCAGCCACTCAGGGCTGCCTGAGGTTCAGGTAACCAGGGCTGGCCGAGGCTTGCGCTGCCGGCAGTGGCAGCAGCAGAGGTGTGATGGGGGTGTCGCCTTCCCCTGATTGCCAGGTCGCCTCCCGCCCCTGAGGGCTCCCGGACTGTGTGAGGGGGCAGGCTGGGCTGAGGGGGCCCCCCTCCAGTGCATGAATTTTCATGCACCAGGACTCTAGTAGAGTAATAATCATGCTAATTTAAATATTATTATTTTTCTAAACAAAGGGATTAGTTCTGATATTATAAAATTATGAGAATTATTCTTGCTTCAGTATATAATCTCTACTTTTCTGCCTAATACTGAAATGATAGGCATTCATTATGTTTGTGTGGAGAAGTATCATGTCAGCCAATAGCACCATGGGTCTCTGCTCTCTATAGCAAGGTCCAAGGCCATAGCAAACTCATGCTAACTCAAGAACAGATATTTTCTGTAAACAGTGAATTCTAAGTACCTATATTAGATAAAATTATTAATAATATTGTATTTTCTGTTGACACAGGAAGAAGAAAAGAGAAAGAAAAACTGAAAGTCGCTGAAGCTAAATCCCCACAGGGACTCATTTCCCGTATTAACACTGATCTAATGAGTGTTCCCCCATCCAGAAGTTTTGCATCTCAAAGCATCTCCCTGGCTTCTGATCTTAATGCCCCCAGGTAATGCTTTCCCCCTAGTCTCTCTCTTTCCTTCAGTTTTTATACCTTTGGCTTCAGTTTGCCAAGATTACTATTCTAGCCTAACTGGTTTGGCTCAGTGGATAGAGTGTTGACCTGCGGACTGAAAAATCCCAGGTTCAATTCGGTCAAAGGCATGTACCTTGGTGGCGGGCATATCCCCAGTAGGAGGTGTGCAGGAGGCAGCTGATTGATGTTTCTCTCTCATCAATGTTTCTAAATCTATATGACTCTCCCTTCCTCTCTGTAAAAATTCAATAAAACACATTTGTTAAAAAAAGATTAGTATTTTATTAAAGTTTATTATCAAGATATCTGGTCTGTTTGTTAATAAGACTAATTTTTAAAATACTTATTTCATGGAGTTTAATAGAATCACCGTATTCTTTAATAGAGTGGGGACACTCAGATTTGAAACTTTCCATCAGCTTTGAGCTGTAGTACGGTTTCCATATTTTTGAAGAGAAAAAAATGTTTGCCCCAATATTTCTAGCCAATTTGCAGGTTACAAATGTTCTCATCTCCTCTCACCAAAGTGATAAAAGAATCAGTCAGTGAGTATACATTGGGTTAATCCAACATTTATTGAGTTTGTGTAAAGTGAACTATATTAGGTGTTTTGAAGAGATATGTAGATGAAGAAAGCATAGTCCCTGACCTAGTAAAACAAAAAGTATGAAACAAGTCAGATGCAATACATTCGGCGGATTATGTGCAAAAGCAATGTGTTTTATGAGAATAAAGGAGTAGGAAGTCTGCATGGGTCATTTCAGGCCCATCAAAGGCACGGAGGAATGTAAGATGGGGCATGTTTAGGGAACAGTGATTGGACTTCCGGTTAGAGCAGTGGCTCTCAACCTGTTGGTCGCGACCCCTTTGGAGGTTGAACTACCCTTTCACAGGGGTGGCCTAAGACCATCCTGCATATCAGATATTTACAGTATGATTCATAACAGTAGCAACATTACAGTTATGAAGTAGCAATGAAAATAAATTTATGGTTGGGTCACAACATGAGGAACTGTATTTAAAGGGCCAGAAGGTTGAGAACCACTGGGTTAGAGGTTGGGATACTGGGACCTGCAGAGGCATTGTGGCAAGACCAGTGCATTTGGAATCAAGAGACCTATAGGGTGAATTATATTGGATGTGTTGATTGAACTTTTCTAAACTTTAGGTTCCTAATCTATAGAATGAGGATAGTAATATGTTGTCCAAGGGATTGTGTTGAGGGCAATATCGTGTCAATATGACAGTCACTAACACAGAACCTAGCAACTGTCTTAGTAAATTTTTGTTGAATTGCATTCTTACTCAAAGACCTAGTGGAAAGCGAAGCTTATTCATGGGAGACCTTCGGTAGTACTAAGGAGTTGGGATTTTATGTGTCGCACAGCCCATCTTCTGTAGAGGGGAGCAGAGAAAAGGGGTTTGAGAGGGCTCCTGGTCTCAAGCTACATATAATTTATTGGCAGGAGTCCAGCCATGCCACACGCACAGGCACACACACAAGATGAGGCAAACTAGTAGGTAGTAGAGTGACTGAGAGGTTGAGCTTTGGGTATAGACTACAAGTTTGGAGCCTGACATCATGATTTATTAGCTTTGTGATCTTGAATCAGCCCCTTTCCTTCAAAACTGGTTTTGTTATCTATGAGAATTAAAGGAGACAAGTCATTGTGTGGCATAGAGTAGGCACTCAATAAGTGTTAGTTCTATTATTGTAATCAGATGCTAATTATATCATATCATATTATGTTATATTAAATTTCATTGTATTATAATAGTTATATGTCCTTTAGCTCATAAATGATGTAGGGTTCAAAGGAAAAACAGCATACCCCTCACAAAGTAGAGCAAGCATGTCAAACTCGTGGCCCGTGGGCCGCATGCTACCCACAACGAATATTTTTGCAGCCCAGCCAATAAACGGCATCAAAGGAACATTTTAATAAAAATTTCATAACTTAAGTTTTACAATATTCTGTTAAACATAATTATTAATAATGAACTACAGCGTTTGCTAATGACTGATTACTATAATTGTGTTGCATTCATTTCCCTTACGATCCTTATGTGCAAGCACACCATTTCTCTCCACTGATACTAGCAGCGAATATTATAGCAGCCAATTGCCACTTCTTTAGTCTTGTACTGACTTGTTCGGTGTGTGCAACAGGAAATATTTTGCTTTCGGAGAACAAGAAAAATAGGTTTATTTGCGTTACACTTATTAATTTGTGCAGTTATTCAGCGTCTGGTAAGTTAATGTTCAAGAAAAAATATTAACTTTTAATAAATGTTCTATTATTTTATGTTAACGATTACTCATTTATTTCAGCCCTTCGTATTCACCATGTCTTTATCAACATAAGCCTACGTTTCTATAAAAATGGAATCTTTTTTTTTTTTGCAGCCCACATGAACTTAAACCTTGTTTATTTGGCCCGTGTTAGCCTTTGAGTTTGACAGGCTTGAAGTGAGTAAGACCTTAACTGAATCTTAAACAATAGCCAAGATTTGGTAAGCTGAAAAGAAAGGGGAGGGTACTCAAGGCAGAGGCAGAAACATGCCCTAGCCCAGGAGCAAGCCTACGGAATGCCTTTGTGAGACTGAAAGGACCCAGGCCTGAACAGGGCATACAGGTCGGTGAGCACTGGTTTGAAACAGGAATACCTAACAGGATCGCTTTATTCTCCAGTGTGCAGGCTTTACAATACGTCTGATTTGCTTTTGTTGTTGGAGTTGCTATGAGTTTGTTGTAAGTTTTGGTCTCTTGAAACTGCTCTGACAGGTTCAACATCATCTCCCACTTTGCATACTAAAATATGCAGCGTGAATTACATAGAAGCGAACAGTGGATAACAACATAGAACCTTTAAACACCAGGCAGAAGAAATAAACTTGAGAAATAGGAACATTGCGCAAATGTTCCCATTTCTCAAGTTTATTTATTTTACCTGATGATATCTAAGCAGTTATTTACAAATATTTGGTGGTTTTTAATAGTTTTAGGAAATGTTTTCTACATCTATTTTTAGGTTCTTTTTTGGATAAATGCTGAAAGAAAATGCATGGACAACACAGGTAAAAATACAAATAAATACTAATAGAACTTATTTTGAAATAGTCAAAGTATTCTAGTGGTAATTGCAATAGGCCTTCATTTATTCTAACATTTCTTTGTACATTTATCCAACATGAGGGAAATGTGATTGTAGTTGCTAGTTCTATTCTTGACCCAGAATAGAATTCTAGTGTCAGATACCCAGTTTCTCTAGGTCTAAATACTATTTTGAATCTTAGTTGGACATATTAAGGAATTGGAATAAAGAATTGATTATTGAGTCCTTAATTCATGCTTTCACCAATGTTGTCTAATGTCATTCCCATAATAATTCTATGAAGTAAGTGTCATTATTCCCAATTTAGAAATCAGGAAATTAAAACTCCACAGTAATCTTCCCATGATCAACAACCAGGAAGCAGTTAGAACTGGGATTTAAATTTAAGCCTTTGGATCTGGGGCTTGGAGTTTTCCAGGCACCATGCTGCTCCCAGGAAGCAGAGGGGGAAGCTGTGAAGGACAAGGGAGGGGAGGTCCAGAGCAAGCTGACCGGTCAGGAGCTGGGACCCCTTTGCTCTGCTTCTCCTGGTGCTCTCTGCACCTGCCTCCCCCTGGGGTGCCCTGGAGGCTGCGTTCCCTGGCTGTCTTGCCCAGAACCTGTCCGCTGTGGGCGCTCAGAGATTAGAGAACATGAGGTGTGGTGTTGCTTTTCTCCCGGCTGCCAGGTCACAGTGTGTTGGTGGCATTTCTCCAGGCAGCAACCCTTGTCGCTCCAGGCCCAAGTGTGGGCATGTGTCCCCACTGTGATAAGCCTTGGGGAATTAAGCTGTTCCTTGTTAATTTCGCTCCCCACCTCTTTACAAACTCTAGTTTCTTCATGGAATGTTCCTCCCATTAGCCTGTCTGAATGTGCCGTTGCTTCCTGTGGATTCCTAGCAGGCAGTCATGGTGTCAGTGGCTATGGATGCTTTTTAATTTTGATTGTTTTTACTTTCCTCAGATCCATCGCTTCTCCAACAATTTTTATAGTGATTTGAATGGTGTGATGACAATTCAACCAAAAACACTTCAGCAGATGCCGGAAGCCGGTCCATCCTTGCTGCTTGACGCAGTTGCTGCAGGGAAGAAACATCTGCACAGCATATGATTCAAGGGACCTGGTGTATATGGCATACTGTTCTTAATATGTTTGCTCCCCTTCTTGGCGCTAGGTGTTTTAACCAAGGTCACCTCTCCGAGAAAGATTGTTTCCCCAGGTAGGGATTTTTCCCTGAAGTTAGGGAGGGAATAAAACCCCTTAACTAAGTGCCAGGCAGGTAGTTAATCACTTTAACTATCAACAATCACGATTAAGCTACATAATCTTTACTCCCTGGAATGGAGATAAGAAAGGCCCTAACCTTTGGAATAGAAATTGATAGGATTAAAATCAACTGGTATAAATACAGATGTAACAAGACAATAAAAAATAGAACCTGGTTGGAGAACCTAGCAAGAGAATATGGCTAGAGAACCTGGATAGAACCTGGCTGGAGAATCTATTGAGAGAACATGGCTAGAGAACCTGGACAGAACCTGGCTGGAGATCCTGGCCACAGAACCATGCAAGAGAACCCAACTATGCTGATCAACTGAACGCTGCTGCCTCCGTGTCATTCCTTCTTCGCTGACTCCATCCACACCTTGGGGAACCCCTGGACCTGTTGGGGCTGGACCCCAACAAGCAGAGACCGACCCATTTTGCAGACAGAACTCAGTACGTATGAAAAATAACCACCCAGCCTCCTCCCTGTGCTGTGCACACATGAACACCTGGACTGTGGTGGGAGTGAGAGAATGAGAATCACACTCAGGGCAGGTCACAGCCAGTGTGAGGATAGAAACATGCTATTCAAATATCGACCACAGAAGGATTACTGTTAGGTTGGGGCACATAAGAAAAAGGGCCCAGACACCATGATTCTCTCTCATCATTGATGTATCTCTCTCTCTCTCCATCTCTCTTCCTCTCTGAAATCAATAAAAATATATTTTAAGAAAAAGAAAAGGGGAATGTAATAGAAAATTCTTAATCTTATGGGCTATAATGTTTGATCATAAACAATAAGAAACTTCGATCTTTTCTCTCTATTGATGATTCTTCATTGAAATTGAAACTGAACTGGAAATGATAATCTGTTTATCCTTTAAATGGAATGGGTATCGTCTAGGAGCCAGGCACTGTTCTTGTTGGTGTCTGGTCATGGGCAAATGTTCCCTAGTCTCACAGAGCTTGCATCTCAGTAATTAACTTGATTTCCCTTCCCCAGGAATGAACAAGAGGACAAATCACTGAGTGTGGGAGCTAGTGCCCTTTCTGTGGCCCACGACCAGCTGGGATGAATCTCAGGCTCCTGCCGACTACAGACTTCTGCAAAGAAAACACCGGTACACAGGAGGCTGCCTTCTCTCCCTTCAGACTCACAGAGAATGAAAACCCCCAATGTGGACAGTGAGGAGGTGCTTAGGGGAACAAGACTGTACATCCTGCTTCTCTCATGATAAACCAATACAGGCTGACAGCGATTGCTCAGGAGAAGGTGACAGAGCTAGCTGGTGCCAGGCCCCTCCCCACATTTGTCTTCCTGAACTCAGCTCATTTCTCTTGGAAGGCAGACTGTGATGAAGAGCTCACACCAGGAGCTGTGTAAGGTCTGTTCTCTGTCTTGACTCCCGGATGCTCAGTTAGGTGTTGTTGTTGTTCACAGGCAAACTGGCGTGGACCACATGTCCTCCCCACCAGTCCACACCGCACGGAGAAGGTTACCCCCCATAGGCCCCGAGCCTGCTGAGCAGAAGGTGGCAGTTCCTGGATCTCAGCCTGTCTCTGTAAGACACATTCCATTATATTAAAGTGCACCACTCAAACAAACAAACAAACAACATATAATCTTGGTACTTTGCAGTGAAATCATTAACATAAAATGTCTCCATAATCTGCTTCCTGAAAATAAGTGGCCTGTGAGAATTTACAGGGGCTGGTAGGGTTCATTCACTATTTTGTGAAATAAAAACATGGCTTATGCTAAATGAGGGAGTGTATCTGTCTGGGACATACCTGGTGGTCAGGATGGTGTGCAGAAAATAGCATGAAGGTGAGGTCAGGAGACAGGCAGATGTGTGTTGGAATCCTGTCACCCAGTCTCTGTGTGATCTGGTATAAATGAATCTCTCTGAGCCTCAATTTTGTCATCTATCAAAGGGCAATAATAATTGCTACCTCAAAAAATTGTTATAGGGATTCAATGAATGTAAAGATGTTAAATAATGACTGGCATAAATGAGGAGCTCAGTCACATACCCCTGCCATTTTTATCAGCTCTCATTTTCCCGCTAACTTTCCTATGTTTACTGCCATGTAGAAGCAGTCCCTTCTTCAGCCAAGCTCAGCTCAGCCCTGCAATTGGGAAAGGTCTGGGGAAGCTGTGCTGCTGGTAACAGGCACAACCATATTTCATAATGACCACACGCTCTGCTATGACACAAGTAGCATGTGTCTATTTTGTAGAACACAGAAGCACCCAGGTTGTGGCAACATAAAGCTTAGGGAGAGAACAAACGCTGAGGCAATGTTTTCTCTTGCATTCCCTGTGCCTCCCTGGGCATAGCCATGGACCCATTCCCAGGAGGTCAGAGTGGCAAAGCTTTAATATTTAAGCTTAGACTATTGAGGCTGAGCGTGAAATCACAAAAGAAGGCAAATAACACCTTAAAAAGAGTCAGATGCTTCACAACTGCAGAACTACATTTTTATTGTATTTAATACTAAGAATTTGATGTAGTAAAGGGTTTTAACCCATATTTACCAATTAGGACATTGTTATTTTATTAGGTTAAAAAACACAATTCCATAATTAAAATATTTCTATATTTATGCTTCGTAGATCTTATGATTAACAACATATAAATATGTTTTCATATAAGTGAATAAATGAATGACTAAAGGAGTGAAGCATATATAGATTTGTTTTTTGTTTTTTTAAGGTGTGAATTTTATTTAAACAATAACATATTATCTCTCATTTAGTACAGAGGAAGGCATGCACAAAACCATGTTTTAAGTGCAATCCCCAATAGTATAGAACGATCACCTCTTCGACAAAGATCTCTGATTGTGGAACAGTTTTCAAGGCCCAGCACAATCCATTCATTCTGGGTAGGTTATCTGTTAACTGTATTTTGCTTTTATTTTTGTTTTAATTAAAATGTTTGGGTGACATTGGCTAATAGGATCATACAGGTTTCGAGTGTACATTTCCATATGCATGCTCTGTATGCTGCATTGTGTTAACTATACTTTGGTTTTTAAAAATATCCACCCCATGCCCTGGCTGGTGTGGCTCCGTTGATTGAATCTTGTCCCATGTACCAAAAGGTCACTGGTTCAATTCAAGGTCAGGGCACATGCCTGGGCTCAATCCCCAGAAAGGGATGTGCAGGAGGCAGCTGATCAGTGCTTCTCTCCCTCTCCCTTCCTGTCTCTCTAAAAACAATAAAAACATATTTTAAAAAAATCCAAAGCAAGTGCCCACCAATAGACAAGTGGATAAAGAATTTGTGCCACATGCCCATACATACATACAATGGAATATTCGTCATAAAGAAGAATGAAATTTTACCATTTGTCACAGCATGGAAATAAGTCAGTTAGAGATAGACAAATACCATATAATTTCACTTACATGTGGAATCTAAATAACAAAATAAATAAGCAAAATAGAAACAGGCCCATAGGTACAGAGAACAGATTGATGGTTGCTAGAGTGGAGGGGGTATTGAGAAGTACAGATGGTTAGTTACAGAATAGTCATGAGGTTATAAGTACAGCAGAGGGAATCTAGTCAATAATATTGTAACATCTGTTGATGGTGCCAGGAGGGGACTGGAAGTATCAGGGAAACACTCTGTAGAGTATATGATTATCAAACCACTATGCTGTACACCTGAAATCTATACAAAATAATATTGAATGTAAAAAATATATACTACTGTCTAAATGTCAAACAAGGAAAAAAGTATCTGAAACAATAGAACTCATCCTTCTAACTCATCCTAAAACTCATCCTTTATTTTTCTTCTAACAGTCAGACACCCCTCAAAAAGGTTCATTGACTCTGATGGAGTTTGCTGGTCACACCTGGGCAGGTCAAGGTTTGCTGACAGGTCAGTGTTCTCCATGGATAAATAAAATGATGTAATGTGTGACATTGTAAGTTTTGGAAAAGAAGTTGAAGATTTCCCCCTGGATGGGACTGTTGTGGACCCCATCAGAGGAAATACCAAGGGTTTGTGGTCTAAACCAGACCTCAGAAACCTCTATAAAGAGCGAAACTGCTAAGGCAAGCTGTAGTTGTAAAGAGGAAAATGCCCAAATGCTTTTTAATCAACTTAAGATCTCACCCTCAAAAAAAAGGGAAAAGGCTGCCTTCTGAGTCCTAAGGGTAATTAGTGTCTCCTTCAGCTGTGGAGGTTCATGCTTTTCTCCTAAATAAAACCCTAATCTTAGATTCTCTTTGAAGATCTAATGATAACAATGCTTAATAAAATTAATACATACATTCTAATTATTTATGTAGAGTTTTACAGATGAGTGTGCTCTTCGAAGAATAAAGTTTCTCATCAGAATTCAAGGCAATGATGTTTTAATTTTCAAACTATGACCAATATTTTTTTTCAAAGGCAAAAGATTGATCAAAATGAACTTTTATTGTTGCAAAATATTTTTTCATCTCTAACTGCCTGTGATCACAAACACACCATTGCTACTGCTTATATGTATGACAGGATAATATTGAATTTGTGAAATCATTCAAACACAGTCAAGGTTAGAGAAAAATAGAGCACATGGTCAAATCATCATAGGCAAGGTGACATTTGGAAAAGAACGTTATGGGAGTCTAATTATGTGGACACTGGCTCCTAAGGGAACCAAGTAGTGCTTGTCCTGTGTCACACACATGCTTCCGTTATGACCAACATTTTTATTCGGGGAGGCCACATGGCGTTGTCATGAGGTGTGCCACCCTGGAATCAAGGTTTCTTTTTCTTTTTTTAAGACCTTTTTATTGATTTCAGAGAGGAAGGGAGAAGGAGAGAGAGAGAAACATCGATGATGAGAGATTCACTGATCATGCCCCACACTGGGGATTGAGCCCACAACCTGGGAATATGTCCTGACTGGTAATCAAACCATGACTTCCTGGTTCATAGGCCGATGCTCAACCACTGAGCCACGCCGGCTGGGCTCAAATGCTTGGTTTCCATCCTGGCTCTGCCCTCTACCAGCCGAGCAATCTTTGGGTTGTCTCAATCTCTCTCTGGGCCTCAGTTCCTTCTTTTATAACAGGCTGGCTGATAAAATAATTATTGGAAAAATGTATGGAAAGGATCTAGCTAGATGCCGGAAAGACATTGTTTGCTATAAATGTTCATAATATAAATTATGACCATTTGTATTACAGATCATCTAACAAATAAAGGGTAATTGCTATTTTCAGGGAAACACTTCATATATTATAATTTTAAAATAAATTTAGCAAAATTTATGCATTGGAACAACAGAGGTTTGTCAGTGCTTGCCTCACCCTTCTATAGTTCTGTAGCAGAGTCATGTTAAAGATTCTAAAGATTCTTTAGCCCTTTGAGATTTTTCTCCAATGCTAAATAGCTCCAGGCTGCTGTACCTTTCCATTGCTTTTTTTTCTTTTATATTCCCTAGCGCTATTCGCTATCATGGTCAGTGACAATAGTTCTTTCTCTAAGAGACTGCCATGCTACATTATCAAGTATTGCTTTTAACAGAATCATAGATGGTCAAGCAGAATTAGACACCCAAGTTTGTTTATCAATAAATTACAATGTACTAACTGCTCACTCTGTGCCTAGTTCTGCGCTAAAGGCAGAGATTCGAACACCAAGGACATTTTGGTCCGAGCCTGAAGGGACATTCAGGCTAATGGGGAGATGGAAAGGGCTGTGGGAGTGGCGAGCGGGGCCACCTGGCTGGATATGCAGGTGGGGAAAGGGGCAGAGAACCTTCCTGGGGGAGGCATGAGCCACTGAATTGGGAGGAACACCCTGGGGTATGTGAGAGAGAAAGGAGTGAAGGCTGATACCTAGGATTCTGTGGGTGATGCTGAAAGAGGGAACTTGAGGAGTTCTGATGAATTGTTTTGGAGACGTTGACTACAGCATGCTGAGTGGATGTCAGCTAATTTGTTGGGCACACGAGAGTGAGGTTAGGAGATGGAACTGGGCTCTGAATTTGCTGTAACTCCGCACTCTTGATTTTTCACCAAATCTAAGTCAGTTAGGCTCTTCTCAGGAACTTGTGACAACAATTATTACTGACGGTCAGAGTCCCTTTTCATTTCTGTAGAAGGGAATGAGGGTACATCAAGAGAGATGTTTCTCTAATTCTAAGGTTCTATTTCCCTTTTTCTCTGACAATCAAGCATGTGGTCTCTTTCTTACCTTTGCTTCCAAGTCAGAAAGCATCTGGAGCTATTAACTTACCAACATATTGTTTTTGTGGCTTAAAAAAAAGGAGGGGAGGAGCTGATGGTGTCCGCAACAGCGGGAAGCAGGTGACTTTGCTTCTACCCCCATGGGGCTGGCAGACCTCCCTACTCAACTGCCTGGGCCTCGGGACCCGCTGTGGGGAGAAGGTCCCTGCACCCCACCTGCCTGGAAGGACACATGGCCAGCCCCGAGGCTTGGTGGGGACGAACACCTTTCCTTCTTCTCAACCCCAGATGGCAGTTTTTGCACGTGACTGTTTCCTGGTGTGTGTTAAAGTGACATTAAATACCTTTTTTCTTTTCTTTTCTTTTTAATATATTTTTATTGATTTCAGAGAGGAAAGGAGAGGGAGAGAGAGAGATAGAAACATCAATGATGAAAGAGAATCATTGCTTGGGTGTGGAGAGAGCAGAGTGCCTGAAGAATGGCTTCTCTGTGTACAACACATCCAATAGCAACTTGGGCTTACTTCTCATGGGTGGCAGAATACTATGGCCTTCCTGTGACATTACACCAGGGGTGGGCAAACTTTTTGACTGGAGGGCCACAATGGGTTCTTAAACTGGGCCGGAGGGCCGGAACAAAAGCATGGATGGAGTGTTTGTGTGAACTAATATAAATTCAAAGTAAACATCATTACATAAAAGGGTACGGTCTTTTTTTTTTTTTTTTTAGTTTTATTCATTTCAAACGGGCGGATCTGGCCCGAGGGCCGTATTTTGCCCATGGCTGCATTACACCCTATACAAAAAAAAAAAAGAGAGAGAGAGAATCATTGGTTGGCTGCCTCCTGCACACCCCCTCCTGGGATCGAGCCCCCAATCCAGGCATATGCCTGCAAACCAGTGATCCTTCGGTCTGCAGGCCGACGCTCTATCCACTGAGTCACACCAGCTAGGGCACCTTTTTTCTTTTTTAAAAATACAGTCTCCATGGGCTATAAAAAACATCCCTTTTCAGACCTGGATTTTTTAACATTTTAATGAGAATTACTTTTGGTTGGTGTTTCAGGTTCGCAGTATCCACCCAAGTCTTTTCAGAGGACAACTCCGACTTTAAGAAAGAGATTTCAAGTGGCATCTTGATGTTGCTTCCCCAGAATTGCAGCCTTTGCTGGGCCCCCCAGAGCCTCTGCGACCACTTGTCACTTGAAAAACAGAAGAACAAGCATTATAGTATGTGTCTGTTGGCACAGCAGTCTGTGATATTGGACTGTCTGAGAGAAATGCAGACAAATAAACAACTTAATTATGAACACTTTGCATTGTAAACACAATACAAGTCAAGCTTATCAGTCTTTGTCATTGGAAGCATTCCAATATGGATTCTTTAGGCTTTGTTCAGAAGAACGTGTGTTTATAATCCAGCCTTTTATCAACTACACACACACACACACACACACACACACACACACACACACACATAATTAGTGTACGTACTAATACACTACGTAATATAAATAATAATGAACCATATTGTAAATTTGTGTCTTGACATATTTTTTGTGTCTCATTCCATGATTAATTCCATCAAAATCCTAATCACGAATAGATATTATTTCCTTCTTGGGATAATAGCAAACTCATCTTGGGTACCCTGTGCCAGTCGAAGATTGGGGCTGTTCTGGTCAGTGTGCTGACTTTCTCATACCCTTTTAAAAAGTAGTTTAGTCATGAGCCTCTTAGAAGAACGTGAGTGGTGAAGTCTCCCAAGGCCATTTTGCTTTACTAGTTTTCATGTTCAAATTCAGGTGGTCTTTTCAGAAGTATCCCCAGTTTAATGACTTTTTTTAAATGATTGATTTTAATTATGAACATAAACATAATTAAAATATATTGCGTATGGTTTCATCGTTATTGTTCACAACTGAAGTGTTCCTCCATTGGACAGAAGGCTCCACAGCAGCATCTTCCTCTTCCCAGATGTCACCTCGGGGCATGGAGCCTTCCCCATCCCTCTGTCTAAAGCAGCAGCTCCCTCTGCTCTCTGTCCTCTTGCTCTGCTTTATTTTTCCTCTGAGCGTATCCCTATCTGACATTAATATGGAGAGTGGAATAGAGAATGTAAATGAGGCTTAATCAGTTGGAGGCAAGGCTATGTGGTCATTTCTCTTTTCTCTCTGCCCCATTGTTTTCCTTTACCATGATTTAAATTTTTAGACTCGTTTTGATCTTTTCAGATCTCAACTTGTGTAATTCTTCTTTTCTATCAGAGAATTATATTTTAATGATTTAATTTTTATTAATCCAAAATGAAGCTTATATCTATCTATCTATTCCTATAATGTGTAATAGGTTATTTTCAGACATATTTCTGGCTCTAAGAAGAGAGGATCGTTGCCCACTTATAAGCATCTGGAAATTAAGAAGAGTGTTGGCACTTGAATTAGTGTTGTCCAGAGCCTTGCCTCCAATTGGTACGTTCTCCTTTACATTCTCTACTTCAATGTCTATAGTCATGGAACATGTTAGGGAGTTGACATGAGAATGATCACTGTGTCTATGGCTCTTCTGATTGGCCACAGCTCCATAATTCTAGGTCATATTCTCAATGCTTAGTAACCTACACAAAGAATTTTCTAACTATCCCTAAATATTAGCTATAAAAGCTTTCAATATAGAGTATCAGTCCTAATTCTGCTGTTATCAGACGTGAGGAACTTCTAGACATGTAAGTGGTCTGGAGTTAGGTGCTCTTTGGTCCCTAATTACTGCTAACTGTGCCATTCCTATCTACCTTGCGCCTTCAAAACCATTCAGACTATTTTATATCGGTTTCCAAGAACCATCTAAGTCATTCCCTAATCAGCCCAGACTTCTTCAAAAGGATTGATATGCATCCTACACTAACATTAGAGTATAAAAAAGGAATTATCTTTTCATAGAGAACCATTGAAAAGGTTTAATGGTAGCTTTATTTTATTTGGCTTTGGAGTTGTGCAACAATTAAAAAATTCTATTATTTACATATATTGATAAAAGTACTTTAAAATATGGAACCAAGTACAATGATCTTGCTTCATATCTTCTAAATATATTCAATTGGAAGATAAAGTATCATTTTAGATATAACAAAAAGACTTAATTGTGTCCCTGACTTTAAAAAACCTGCTCTCTGCACATGTTTTCACATCTGTATTAAAGATAATGTTTTATTTACAGGTTAATTGAGATTCAGAGGCTAGTAAGTAATCCTTATACCAAGGATGGTGCTTCTTGAACTGGTTAGGTCAAAGTTAGGACAGTGTTTTCATAAAAATCATTGATAAATGAATCATCTTAAAATTTTGATAAAAATTGAAAAAGGCAAACTGAATTATTCCTGAGGTCAATCTATATATATAAAAGCCCAGCAACAGGAACATCGGAATGACCAGAACCTCCAGTTGTAATGATGTACACTGTGGTGGCCAACCGGGCTGATACAGGCCCTGATCAGCTCCCCACAACCTCCCGCAGCCAGCCCCACCCCTGTTTGGCCACCTCACCCCAATCAGGGGAGGGGCCAACTGGCCAACCTCCTACAGCCCCTTGCCCCTGTGGCTGGCCCCCACATAGGACCTGATCCGGGAACTGGCCAGCCAACCTCCTGAGGCTCCTCTCCTCAGCAGCCTCCCCCCCTCATAGGCCTCGATCGCCAGCTAGGCCAAGGGACCCCACCCATGTGCAGATTTGTGCCCCAGGCCTCTAGTTTTTAAATCAAGGTTAGAGACTACATTAATAAAATGTCTGTTAATTTATCCAAAAACCAAGAAGGAATGAATGAATTGAAAAGTAATATAAAAACATGTCAAATACCATAAAAAACTGCTCAATTTTTAAAATATAACATGAGAGGAAATATCCATATGTTATTCTGAACTAGAATGTAATTGCTATACCAATTAAGAGGTACATCTTTAATATCATAAATCATTTGGGTAGGATATTTTTCTTGTCATTGTCTTCTTATGACCACAGATCATTGTCTAGGATTTTTAATTCTTTAACTTTTAATAAAATATAAAGTGTTGAAAGAGTTTTCAGAAATTTATTGCATTCATAAAAGCTTGTTTAGGTTCCCAATTTTTATATAATTTGTGTGAATATCTCTCAATTCTGCATATACATAGGTTATTCACTCATTTATATTTCTAACCAAATAGCAAACATTCGTCAACTCAAAATATATATCCATCTATGTTTTTCAGGGTTTTAGCTCTTTGATAAAAATTCCAATTTAAAATTTGTTTCAGAATATAACATTTGTGTGTGGTCATCAATATGGGTTTATTATTTCATCATCAAATGTTTATCAAGCACCTTCTTTTTATTAAGATTCTGTGCTAAGCATTGGACTGAACAAGATGAAGTCTTTGCCCTAACAGAACTTTGAGTCTAGTGGAGGAGGCAATCAGTTTGTTAATATCATAAATCATTTGGATACTATATTTTTGTTGTAATTGTTTTCAATAACCAAAGCAACAAAAATATAATATAAGGTCAGATAGCAATAAATGCTATAAAGAAACTTAAAATAGGGCTTCAACTTTAGAAAGGGGAGGCTTTATTGTAGAGGTAATATTTGAGCAAAGATGTAATGAAGATGAGATAAGAAGCCATGTAGATATGAAAAAGAGAATTCTAGACATAGTAAAAACACACACTGGCCTAAAAAAGGAGCATACCTAGGGGTTTGAAGAACAGCAAAGAGGCCATTGGGGCATAGAATGGAATTAGCAAGGGGGTGAATAACAGTAGATGATAGGAGAGGAGTGATTAAGATCCTTTTTGACCTTGGAAATGGACAGTTATCTGAAATAGGAGCAACTGGAACGTTTTCAGGACAGAGCAATGCAATCTGACCGAGACAATGTTTCAGTCATATGACAGTGACGTAGCTGCTCAGAGTCAGAGGACTTTGGATGTGTTTTGAAAGTCAAGTCAGCGGGATTTGCTGTGGAATTAGATGTGAAGTGTAACTAAAGAAAGAATCAATATTGACTTCAAGGCTTTGGCTGGGACATGTGATGTTTGAGATGCCTATTGGATGCCTAAGTGGAGATGTTGAGGTATTTGGGTATCTACACCTGGGGTTTAGAGAAAAGGTATAGACTGGAAGTATAATTCAACAGAGAGATGTATTTAGGTACTGACATGGATGAGATAACCAAGAGAGTGAGTACAAAGACGCAGGGAAAGAGTTCCAACTCCTTTTAACATCTAGAGCAGTGGTTCTCAACCTTCCTAATGCCATGATCCTTTAATACAGTTCCTCATGTTGTGGTGACCCCCAATTTCATTGTTACAAATTGAACATAATTAAAGCATAGTGATTAATCACAAAAACAATATGTAATTATATATGTGTTTTCCGATGGTCTTAGGCGACCCCTGTGAAAGGGTCGTTCAACTCCCAAAGGGGTCGCGACCCACGGGTTGAGAATTGCTGATCTAGAGGTATAGGATATGGAAAGAAAGCAGTGAAGCAGACAGAAAAAATACTGGTGAGGGAGAATCACAATCAAGAGAATGTAGAATCCTTGAAGTCAAATAGAGGGAAAAGTTTTTCAAAGAATAAATATGGGAATATCATTACCGAGATTACAGATGTCAAAATTTAACCAGTATACTATGACTAGTTTGGTATGATAATTTAGATGAAATGTTTAAACTCCTTGAAGAATATTACTTATCACCGGACAAAGAAGAAATAAGAAACCTGGAAAAGTTTATATCCATTATAGACTTAAATCTATAATTAAAATCCTTCTCTCAAAGAGAACTCCAAGTCCTGATGACTTCCAGGGTTAATTCTTCCAAATATTTAAGGAAAAAATAGCATCAATAACTCCCATATAAAGTTTTTTCAAGATAATAGGAATTTATTTTATAAGGCTAGCATAACCTTTATACAAAAACTGATAAGGGTATAGAAAACAAAGAGATGAATCTCATCTCTGAACACAGATGATAGACCCCTAAGCAAGATAGTGGCAAATCAAATCAGTCAGGTATGAATGGGTAATAAATGCCATCCAAATTAGATCTATGTAAGGCATTCAAGTTTGGTCTACCATGTGAAAAATAATCAATGAACAAATGATGTCAAAGAAAACAAACATATGATATTTTCAATAAACGGAGACAAAGTCTTTGAAAAAATTCATTCATAATAAAATTTCCTAGTAATCTAGGAATAGAAGGGAACAACTATCATTTGCTTATGGGTATTTAGAGGAAAAAACCCTTCAGCAAACTTCACACTTGGAGGTAAAATATTCAACTATACCCCCTGAGAGCAGAAGCAATGCAAAAAGATTCTGCTAGCCACCAAAGTTATACAGGGTGTCCTAGCCAGCTTGATTGGGCCAGATTAAAATATAGAGGGTCTTAAAAATTGGGGAAAAAGAAAAAAATTCATTCTTCACAAAAACCATCATTGTGTAGGTAGACAATCCAAAATAATCTACAGATAGACTTAAAAATCAATCAGTATGTGATTTTAGCAAGCTCATTGAAAACAAGGTCAACATAAAATGCATTTGCATTTCTACATACTAACAATAATAAGATAATAAAATCTAAAAAATACTACTTATAATAGCCTCAAAAACATCAAATAATAGGAATCTATTTAATGAGATGATTATAGTAGTCAGGATTCTCCATAGAAACAGAATTAATAATATATATACATCTCAAAAAATGTATACACAATAATTTTAATGGCAGAGTTTATTAAAATACATTTCATTTTCAAAATTGAGCTACCAGCTATTAAAGTGTGTATACATTATTTTGAAATTCCCTGTACTTATGACATCTGAAACAACCATCCTAATATATAAAAACCCAGAGTCCATAACGACTGACCAAAGATTCACCTGAACACTGGAAGTCAGTCCTGCAGTCAGTGTTGGGTTGCTGTGGTGACCCAGCACTGACTGACGAAGGGGCTGTGGATGAGGCCCTGAGAGAGAGTCAGGGCCTGATCCGCAGCCTCTGTGGCAGCTGTTAATCAGCCGTTGCCTCACTCTTTCTTTTCTGATGTCCATTTTGTCTTTTAGTTGTATTTTGGGAGTGGTTGTTCAAGACAGCAATTGCAAGTGTTTACCTATGCCTCCTCAGAGATCCAAGTGCCAGTGTACCCAGTGGTCAGAGTGGGACCATCCAGATTACAACCCCTCAGATCCATAAGGGACACACTCATGGGGCAAACTCAGTGAGCACCAAAGCCCCACTGAAGCAAGTCTTGCCCCATAAGGGTGTCTCCAGCACATAAGTTCTCCTACCATAGACACAGCTGATTCTCACAGACAATTGGCCTGGAGGTCAATTCCTCCCAGTGATAGCAACTATAATCAAGGCTTAACTACAACAAGACTGTGCACACAGCCCACAGAGGGGTGCACCAAGAGTGTCCAACTCAGGTAATTGGGGAGGCTGAGCTACTGGGCCCTATAGGACACCTAGCACAGAAAGCCACCCTATCAACACAGGGAAGCAGCCAAAATTCAGAGACAAAGAAACAGGTCACAAGTGACAGAAATGGAGGAAAGCAAACTACTGGATATAGAGTTCAAAACCACAGTTATAAGGTTTTTCAAGAATTTTCTAGAAACCACCGATGAATTTAGTGAGACCCTCAATAAATCTAGGGAGACTCTCAAGGATATGAAAAAGGACCAAATAGAAATTAAGCATACACTGACTGAAATAAGAATATTATACAGAAATCCAACAGTAGACTAGAAGATCGCAAGAATCAAGTCAAATATTTGAAATACAAAAAAGTAAAAAACACTCAACTGGAAAAACAAAAAGAAAAAAAAATCCAAAAATATGAAGAAGGTGTAAGGAGCCTCTGGGACAACTTCAAGTGAACCAACATCCGAATTATAGGGGTGCCAGAAGAAGAGAGAGAGCAAGATATTGAAAACCTATTTGAAGAAGTAATGACAGAAAACTTCCCTTACCTGGTAAAAGAAATAGACTTACAAGTCCAGGAAGCACAGAGAACCCCAAACAAAAGGAATCCAAAGAGGACCACACCAAGACACATCATAATTAAAATGCCAAGAGCAAAAGACAAAGAGAGAATCCTAAAAGCAGCAAGAGAAAAACAGTGAGTTACCTACAAGGGAGTACCCATATGATTGTCAGCTGATTTCTCAACAGAAACTATGCAGGCCAGAAGGGAGTGGCAAGAAATATTCAAAGTGATGAATAGCAAGAACCTACAACCAAGATTACTTTACCCAGCAAGGCTATCATTCAGAATTGAAGGTCAGATAAAGAGCTTTACAGATAAGAAAAAGCTAAAGGAGTTCATCATCACCAAATCAGTATTATATGAAATGCTAAAAGGTATCCTTTAAGAAGAGTAAGAAGAAGAAAAAAGTAAAGATACAAGTTATGAACAACAAATACATATCTATCAACAAGTGAATCTAAAAATCAAGTGAATAAAAAATCTGATGAATAGAATAAACTGGTGAATATAATAGAATCAGGGGCATAGAAAGAGAGTGGACTGATAATTCTTGGGGGGAAAGGGACGTGGGGGTGCAGGAAGAGACTGGGCAAAAATCGTACACCTATGGATGAGGACAATGGCAGGGGGTGGCAGGTGTAAGGGCAGAGGGTGGGGTGGGAACCGGGTGGAGGTAGCTATGGGGGAAAAAAAGAGGAACAACTGTAATAATCTGAAAAATAAAGATTAATTTTTTAAAAATGTTAACATTTACAAAGCTGTGCTGGGGTTTATAACTTATTCTGGCCCATGACTAACTTTCAAAGGCATGTATTTCAAGCAGGGGATAGGAACAAAAATCTTCCAAGTGGTTTGTCCTTTAATATAGAAAGAATCTTCAAGAGACAAAGTTAGGGGACCACTTCCTACTCAGCGGGATGAGTGCCATGAAGCTGACTAAGCAGTGATAAATGTAGGTAGATCGTCTTCACCTTGGCAATGCCATGCTCCCTACACAGAGACTCATTATGTTTCAGGGTGGACATTCGAAGGCGCAACACTGTGAACTTGGTTGCCAGGAGAGAACGGTGTCGCCATGGGTTTCTCTCACGCTTGGCCATCTGACTAGTCTAGTCTGAAATTTCGGGGCACTGGCTCCTATCTGGTAACAAATAGGGTGACAACGATGACACAGGGAACAAAGAGACAAGTCTTTTATATTATTGTCCTTTTTCAAAAAATCCTCAGTGCTCTCTTTCTCACCCACAAATTGCCTTCAAAATAAAGATACAATTTCTAAGCCTGAGAGTCGGGGTCTTTTAAAGCTGGTCCATGCTACCTGTGAACATTGTATTGTCCTGGTCATTCTCAGCCACCCTGTGCTCCAAGCAGGGGTCCCCTGCACACTTTGTTGAACCCATCATACCCTTCTCTGCTCTGGAGCACTTCCTGCTCATGTTGGCTGCTGCCTGAAAGACTCCGCCCTCCCCCTTCTCCACTTCTTAAGGATAGTGGTTATATATTCCTTGTTTTGTCCACAGAGATGAGCAGAGAGTCAGCTATAGACAACTCCCATGGGTTCATAGCTGTGATAGACTTTTAGAGAGATGAGATAGACTTAAAGATATCAGTGAACACAGCCATGGGCAGAATTGGGGCATCCTTCTCACCATCATTCCCGTTCCCTTTCCCTTCCTCCCATAGGCTCAGTGGTTTGTCTTTTGAGAGTTGCTTCATAATTACTGTTCCTTTATCCAACCCCCGCTCTGCCAGCACCTCTTATCTCTCCCACGTCCAGAGACCTTGCCCTTCATCCTCTCCACCCGCCCCCATGTTCTCTTGGTCCCGAGGCTAATTTGGAAACCATTGGGATCACAAGAACGTGATTCAGCTCTCCCGTGACCTGATGACGAATTTTACCTGCTCCCTCAGGTTGGAGTCCCAGGTCAGAGTAGGGAGCTGCCCTGAATGACCCTGATGCTCAGCCAGGATGCACCCACCTCCCACGCGCAGCCAGTCCCAGGAAAGCAGAAGACACTGCTGGTGGCGCAAGGGAGCATCATGAGATCAGGCGCCCAGCCAGGGAAAAACTAATCCCAAATCAGAACTTCCAACCCGGCGCCCTTTATTTCCATTCTAAAACGTACCGCTCACTCCCGAAACAGAAGTCAGGCCACCGCAGCCACAGTGCGCCTCTCCATCCTGAAATTGCCCTAAATTGCACCCCATTCTCCTCCCCACGCCACTCAAGGGCCTCCGTGTCTTCTCAGCGCTCTCTGCCTTCAGACTCGGGCTTCCGGGCTTTCGTTTCTGCTGGAACCAAACAGAGGCCCGTGCGCCTTACTAGGCGTCTGTCTGCACAACAACACGGCGGTGCTTTCCTCCCAGCCGGGGAGGCTCCAGCCCAGTCCCCAGGGGGCAGGGCGGTCCCTGCAGGAGAAGCCCCGCTTCTGGGCGCCTGGGCTGCTGCCTACGGGTTGCGGGAGGAGGGAGAGGCGATTGGGCCGGGCGCCACCTCTTCCCCCGCACGCCTGGCCCGCTGCGCCCGCCCCCAGAGACTCCTCCCAGGGCCCGCACTTGAAAGGCAGGGGCTGCACCCCCTCCCTGGCCCCAAGCACCGGGCACCGAGGTTCAGGGTCTCAGTCCCCGCGGAGCCGACCTCTGGCGCGATGGTGGCCGTCTGGCTGGTGCACGTCGGGCAGAAGCTGCTGCTCTGGGGGGCGCTCAGCGCCGTCTCCCTGGCGGGCGCCAACCTCATCCTGAGCTTCCTGCAGATGATGGCGACCTACGCGCATAACTGGCTGCAAATGAGGCCCATCCCCACTATTCCGGGCGCCTACCCCTTCGTGGGACACGCGCTGATCCTGGAGCGAGGAGGGAAAGGTAAGGGACTGCGCGCCTGGCCACATCCCCGCCACTGGCTGTTGGGCCCCTTGCAGGGAACCGCCCGCTTCCCCACCTGGAGCAGCAGGACTGGAGCTGCAGGCTGCTGGGTGAGAGGCGACTCTATTACCCCCTGGATAATGGGTTCCCAGTTCCCTCGAGTTTTCATTACACATAAGTGCAGTGTTTCTAAACTCCCGTCCGTCTGCCTTTTCTCTTCTCATTTTCCCAACTCCTGGCTGCTGCTATCTGAAAACACCGCCTGTAGCCCTAGCTTCCTTGGCTCAGTGGATAGAGCTTTTGACTCTGGACTGAAGAGTCACTGGTTTGGTTCCCTTCAAGGGCTTATGCCTGGGTTTCAGGCTCCATCCCCAGTGGGGGGTGTGCAGGAGGCAGCTGATTAATGATTCTCTCTCCTCTCTGATGTCTCCATCTTTCCCTCTCCCTTCCTCTCTGAAATCAATAAAAATATATTTAATAAGAAAAACAACAACAACAAAAACACTGCTTGTTTTTCTTCTGTCTTAACTGTTAAAGTCCTAAAGGCAGACACAAATTATAACTTAGTCTCTCTCTCTCTCTCACTCTCTCTCCAAAATAAGGAACAACAAATGCACTTGAGAGTAGAGCTCCCTGCAGAAATCACAAGACTTAACCATAACTTTCATTCCTCCTTGGCCCTTCTAAGGAGGTTACATACCAACATGAATTATGATGTTATTCACCAAGGCCTGCCCCAAAAGTCATACAGCAAGTTTCAGAAATCTTATTTGTTAAGGAGTGAATTGGTTTTTTTATTGAAATCATCTTTTGAAGAGACAGCTTTATGTTATGTTATGATAGGGGTAGAGGGGTCACTTTAAGTTAGAAAGCTCCTAAAACTCCCTGATGTTTGCATCCCCTATGAGGGAGGGTGAGTTAGATCTTAGCACTTCATCTTCGTGGCTGGATAAGTTGAGATACCCAGAACTGGAAAGATTTGCCCCAAATGACATATTTTAAAATGAGCCCAGAACTAGAATCCAATCACCCCTCAGTTTAACTGAAGATGTTTTATAGACTGAACATCAATTCCAAAGCTTAAAGGGTTATTTCTTTTCCACTTTCCTTTCTCCAAATAAAAATAATGCTGTCATTTCAACTTCACAGGAAGACATGAGGCCTCATGGGAGAGTGTTACCAAAATACAGAAAATGTTTCTGGCAGAAGAAATCCCAGTACACTTTTAACCAACCAGAGATCAATGCAACTAATGCTGCAAGTGATGCAGCAAATTTTGATATATGGAAATTACATTTGTAAACATCATCATGGTGAACACTAAAGGCAGAGCTAATCTTCCCTTCTACCCAAAGGCTTTATAATATTAAAAAATAATGGTGTAGAAATATAGACCCCCTTCTCCTCAACAGGAAACCATATACTTAAGAAATCTCATCATAGTCTTTTGGGGGAATTTTCCTAAGAATTGAAATCTCTAGTGAATAAGATCCATTTCCAAACAAACTGTGAGTTATTGGATTATTTTAAGTAATTCTCCTTATAGTTACTTCTGGAGAGGAGAGCATGGTAACACATTATCTTTCTCAAGGGGACTTTTTAATGCATCAACAACTACTGGATCTGGGCATGAGACCAACCTTTGCTCCTTTTCTGCTTGTAACCAAAGTGCTTGACTTTGACAAGTTGTTTAAAACTCTTTAAGTTAGAGTGTGTTACCCTTTACTTGTAAATGTTACTTTGAGGATTACATTTAATGCGTGCATTTTCTGTCTAGGCCGTTGTCCAGAACTTGGTTTGAGTCCATTTTTTCATTGTCAATCATGCACTTATTTGAGGCCCTCCTTTGTGCCCAGCATTGAGCTCAGCAAAATTGGGCATAGCACATTTAAAGGTATATTCCCCATCCTCAATACCCTTGTGTCTTATACAAGAGGCTGTGCCTTTCATTGTGTGGCTACCATCCACATTCTGGCCTCAGAAGTCTCACCTGGAGAATTGCAATGGCCTTCCAACTAGGCTGTTGAACTCTATCTTTTGCTTTTTCAGTCCTTTTGGTCAACACCTGTCTTCCCCAGCTGCTCCCTGCCATTGGGCCCACCTGAGGCCTTCAAGCCACGGGTTTTGATTTCCCTGTCTCCTCTGTCAGACCAACCAAGGCAGTGTTCATGGCCATGCTACATATATTTGACACTGTTGATCTGACCTAGCTCTTTTAACAGCAATTTGGCCAATGGTTTGACTGGAAGGCATTTTGAATGGGCGTGATGTAATGGTGAAGATGGCACATTGTGTGCCTGGGTGCCTCGGGTACTAAGCCAGGCCTATATTTACCAGCGCTGTGATATTGTGCAACTACTTAGCTGTGCACAACTCCCTCAGTCATTCACTCACTTCTGTAATAGTGCTTCTCATCTGACTGTGGTGAGGCATAAAAGACATAAGGCATGGAAACCTTTAGCTCTGGTCTGATGTTTAATTACCTTCTACAGCAAATAAACATGACAGAATGAATGTCAGCCATTTTAGAAGATTCATTATTAGGTTTTGAGGGGCCCAAATGTGCAAACGCTTTAGACAGTTATTACTGTTTATTCAGTGTCACATGCAGTGGACATCCCTGAGCTTTAGCCTCTCTCCCGCTGCCCTTTTAGCAGCTTGCCCTGAAGCCCAGGGGTGGGGGAAGCTGAGGGATGGGAGAAGGAGCAGGGAGAGGTGAGTATGTGAACATTTCTTGGCACGAAAAAGAGCTGCAAAGTTTAATAGTTGTTTTTTTATGCCATGTCAATCTGTCCGTGGGGCCCAAATTCCCATGTTAAACAACCCGTCAAAATCTCAGGTGCCGTTCATATTAGTAGCCTCACAGTGCTGTGGGCATTAGTCCTGATGCTGTCTAGGCATCCCCTTTGCCTAGAGCCGTGGTTGGCAAACTGCGGCTCGAGAGCCACATGTGGCTCTTTGGCCCCTTGAGTGTGGCTCTTCCTAAGCCTTAGGAGTACCCTAATTAAGTTAATAACAATGTACCTACCTATATAGTTTAAGTTTAAAAAATTTGGCTCTCAAAAGAAATTTCAATCGTTGTACTGTTGATATTTGGCTCTGTTGACTAATGAGTTTGCCAACCCCTGGCCTAGGAGAAGCCTGGTACAACATGCCTCCCAGCTAGTCTGCTCTCCTTATCCCTCCCTCCCTGGATTTTGCCAGCAATCTCAGGAGAGTGCCTCATTTCCTAACCTAATTAGAAAGCCAGTCCTCCCGTGACCTCATGTTGTTTGACTTGGGCTCTGTCTAACCATTGCCAGGTCTTTTCTCTGAGGGCTGGACCCTGTACCCCAATCCTTTAGTCACTGTGTTCTCCCACCCCACCCACCCCCCACCTCTGGGTTGCACTTATCAAGTTAGTGTTTGTCAGGGCCATCCTGACAGGGTTGAGCCGGGCTGAGGCAGGGAGGTGGGAATTGAGAAAAGAAAGAAAGACAGGAAAGCGGGGTCGGGAGGACCCCAGTTCTCTCAATGAACTGAAGCGAGTTTATTAGCTATACAATCCTATTTATACACAACACACTGAATCGGAGGTCTGTCAAGAGGAATGTATTCTTTGTTCCTCTTAATCTCTAAGGGAGAGATACAGCAGAAGGACAAGTTCTCAGTACAGCATATCTCAGTAAACAGTCACAGACTTCTTGGCAAGCTATGAAAGGCTGTTCTCATTCTACAAATGTTAACCCCATTCTACTGATAACCGCCATCCAAACAAGTCTGGGAAAACTGTGTGGGTAAGGGTCCCAGCCTTGCTAGCCCCTGCAGGTGCAAGGACCTTGCCAGCTTACATCTGGCCCCCAACAAGTGTTTCCTGACCTGACCCAGATTTTTGTCATGTTTGACCTTTCTGAATGCTGGGCTGCATTCCCCAGATGGGGCCTCAGGGATTTCAATACAGAAAGTGTTAACTCCCAAACTTTCCTCCCTACTTCAATGTTGTTGGGATTACTGGTCACCATTTCCATACACCCACTATAAGGACCAGCCATAAAGCAGGACCAGGGCCCCTAACCTTGGCTGCATCCAATCCCCATCTTTTTCCCACCCCCAGAAGCTTCCTGTGGCCTCGAAATACCAAGTTCTTCACAGATCCCACACACCTCAGTGTTATTGTCCTAAAATATAACTGTGTGGTTCTAGTACTCATCAGGAACTTTCAGATATTGCCTTGAGGCTATATAAGAAAATCTAACTTCTTTAGCCTTCCAACACTCCAAGCTCATGTATCAATGTTTTCATCGCCTTCCTGTGCTTTGGCTAAACCTATAGGCAATTTTCAGACCTCCCTGCCTCTGCTCTGCTATTTCTGATACTTGGTTTACCCTCACTTCCCTTTTCTTCCTACAAAAAGCCAACTCATTCTTTTATTCTCAATCTAGAGGCCCGGTGCACAAAAATTTGTGCACTTGGGGGGGAGAGGGGGTCTTTCAGCCCGGCCTGTGCCCTCTCACAGTCTGGGACCCCTTGGGAGATAACGACCTGCTGGCTTAGGCCTGCTCCCGGGTGGCAGAGGGCAGGCCCAATCCCTAGGTGCAGCCCCTGGTCGGGCTCAGAGCAGGGCCGATTGGGGAGTTGGAGCGCCGCCCCCTGTCATGCACAGAGCAGGGCGGATCGGGAGGTTGCGATGCCACCCCTAGTCATGCTCAGGGTAGGGCCAATTGGGGGGTTGGGGCACCGCCCCCTGTCACACTCAAGGCAGGGTCGATAGGGAGGTTGCGGCGCCACCCTCTGTCACACACAGAGCAGGGCCGATCAAGGGGTTGAGGAGCTCTCCCTTGTCATGCACAGAGCAGGGCCCATCAGGAGGTTGGGGAGCCCCCCCCGTCACGCACAGAGCAGGGCCCATCAGGGGGTTGGGGAGCTCCCCCCCTGTCACACACAGAGCAGGGCGGATCAGGGGGTTGGGGCGCTGCCACTGTCACACTCAGGGCAGGGCCGATGGGGCGGGGGTTGGGGCACCGCACCCTGTCACAAATAGAGCCGCAGGGCGATCGGGGGGTTGGGGAGCTCCCCCCTGTCACGCACAGAGCAGGGCTGATCAGGGGGTTGAGGAGCTCCCCCCTGTCACGAACAGAGCAGAGCGGATAGGGAGGTTGTGGCCCCACCCTCTGTCACACACAGAGCCGCAGGGCGATCAGGGGGTTTGGTTGCTGCCCCCTGTCACGCTGATCCCGGTGCTGGGAGGCATATTACCTTTTTACTATATAGGATAGAAGCCTGGTGCATGGGTGGGGGCCAGCTGGTTTGCCCTGAAGTGTGTCCTGGATCAGGGTGGGGGTCCCGCTTGGGTGCCTGGCCAGCCTGGGTGAGGGGATGATGGTTGCTTGCATCTGGTCACACCCACTTCAGTGTGGGGGTCCCACTTGGGTGCCTGGCCAGCCTGGGTGAGGGGATGATGGCTGTTTGCATCTGGTCACACCCCCTTTAGGGTGGGGGTCCCCACTGGGGTGCCTGGCCAGCCTGGGTGAGGGGCTGAGGGCCGTTTTCAAGCTGGCAAGTGACTGAAGCTCCCAACCTGTCCTTTTTTCCTTTTTTTTTTATTCTGGGCCAGCTTTAGCTCTGAGGCTCAGCTCCAGCTATAAGACCTCCGCTGCTGAAAGCAGGTTTCTGGCCTTTGTTTACCTTCTGTATTTGAAACAATGTTGCGGTCCTGCTGGCTGAAGCCCCGGGTTTTGTTTAGCTTCTATATTTGTTACAATGTTACTTAGCGTGCAGCTGAGAGGCCGGCAAGGCAGGCGGGGAAGCTTGGCTTCCTCCGTCACTGAAGCAAGCAAGCCTCCCTGTTTGTGTCAGCTGCCTGGCTGCTGGCCGCTATCTTGGCTGGCAGTTAATTTGCATATCGCCCTGATTAGCCAATGGGAAGGGTAGCGGTCGTACGCTAATTACCATGTTTCTCTTTTATTAGATAAGATGCCATCTCTTTCTTGGAATTTCTCCAGTCCTTTCAATGAAAATCGGTAACTCCTCAGACTTAAACTTCTAATTTAACACCCATTTCATCTGATCTGATACTGTGATTAGTCCCACAGTGACCATCTCCTCTGATTATAAATTCCTTGAGAGTAGGGATCTGGTCCTTTGGTGGTACATGTTCCTTGCCTGTGGAATGCATGTGTGAGCATGTTGTGTTTTCAAGAAGAAGTAAGGTACTTCCATCATATTCATTCTTACATCTGGACATGTCATAGGAAACTGATTTGATTGATTACCAACTTTCCCTATCTAATCCCTACATTTTCCTCATTGCTTCTCAGTAATTCTTTTTAGCTTAATGATTCTTTCTTATATTCACTATGACATTTCTTCCACATTTTTGTCACATTCCTAAACCAAATTTTTTCCTATATCCAAGGAAATGTAGACACAGCCTATTATTTATATACTAGTGGCCTGGTGCACAAAACTCAAGCACATTAAAAGAGAATTAATGATAAGAAATATTTTAACATTGCTATTTGCCCTTTCTCTATAATAGAGGTGTCAGAGATGAAAGAAAATTAGTAAAATGTGTATAAAATCTCCCTCCTGTCAGAGTCTTGGGCGCGCCACAGGACCTACAATCAAGTCCCCACCCACCACCCTCACGCACTTCTAAAATGCAGGAGACCCAGACCCGGCCGGCTCCACCCCCATTAGCTGAGACCTAGACCCAGCCGGCCCCACCCCTGTCAAGACCCTCGGGGCTGGGGCCACAACCTCAGGTCCTCTGGGCAGGGGGCACAGCCTCAAGTCCCTCGGCCCGGTGCTGGGGTAGGGGTGTAGCCTGAGGTCCCCTGTCTAGCCCCGCTGGGTGTGGGGGTGTGGCCTGACGTCCCCCTTCAAGCCTCACTGGGCAGGGGGAACAGCCTGAGGACCCCCGGTCTGTCACTGAGGTCGGGGGCCACAGTCAGGTCTCCCTGCCTGGAACCCTGGCGGGGGGCATGGTCTGAGGTCTCCCTGCCCAGAGCTGTGGCAGGGGGGTGGCTTGAGGTCCCCCTTCAAGCCTCACCAGGCGAGGGGTGCAGCCTGAGTTCCCTCGTCAAGACTCACTGGGCGGGGGGCACTGCAGGACAGGGGTTGTGGCCTTAGGTGCCCCCCGCCCCCCGCAGCATCATTTCATGCTGAATGGGGATGCATGCAGGCAGCATGATGTTAGTGCTGGGTGCGGAATTCCCGCCTCTGGCCCTGCCCATAGACTGGGACACCTTAATAGACAAATTAGCATATTACCTCTTTATTATATAGACTAGAGGTCCAATATATGAAATTAGTGCATGGGTAAGGCCCCTAGCAGCTGCTGGGCTCTGACCAGGGCCTTCCTACGTTCTGCACCGCCACCTGGTGATCAGCACATGTCATAGCAAGCAATGGAAATCCCAGTTGGTCAAACCCCCCCCCCCCCCCCCCGGGGACATTTTGAATATTTGGCTTTTATCTATATAGATACTGTGTGTATGTGTTTCTCTTCTACTAACAAAATATTTTAAAATCTTACTCCACCTTACTTTTTATTCTTCAGCTTCAGCATTCTATCCTTCTTCATAAACTTTTATTTATTCAAATGATATTAGAACTATGGAAATTTGTAAAAATAATATAGAGTTTGCATATGCCATATACCCAGCAAGCCTCCTCTGATGGTATTGTTTTATGGAATTAGTGTCATTATCAAACTAGACCATTATTATTTGTCCAATGTTCTTAACAATACTACCGCCCTTATTTGAATTTTACAACACTGCCTAGTGTTCTTTTTCTGTTCCATGACTCAATTCAAAATCTCACCTGGCATATAGGAGTTGTACTTCCTTGTATTATGTTCTTCAATATTAATTTTTTCTAATCTGTGATCCTTTATCAGTCTTCCCATACACATCAAGACCTTGACACATTTTCTGAGACAGGTATTTTGTACAATCACTCTCAGTTTGGATTTGTCTGTTGTTTTATCAGAGTTTCATTGAGGTTATGCATTTTTGACAAGAACACCATATGTGATGTTGAAAACGTTCCCTCTAAAATCAGGAAGACAAGGATGCTCACTCTCACCACTTTATTCAACATAGTATTATAGGTGCCAGTCAGAACATTTAGGCAGGAAAAAGAATGCAGACGACATGATTTTTCATATGGAAAATCCTAGATACTCACCCCCCCCACCATGTTAGAATTAATAAATAAATTTAGTAAAGTTGCAGGATATAGAATCAATATACAAAAATCACTTGCATTTCTTTATGCTATCAATGGACTACCAGGAAGAGAAATTAAGGAAACAGCCCCATTTACAACTGAATCAAAAGGAATAAAACAACTAGGAATAAATTTAACCAAGGTGAAAGTCCTGTGCACTGAAAACTATAAGATATTGGCTAGAGAAATGATACAAACTAATCCTATCATTATTCTGTTGCACAAATTGTCCCTGTTTGAAGTATTAGGAGCTTTTCAGTTGGCTGCTTGGTGTTTCAACACCATCACTTTTTGAGCACTTCCTTACTTTCTGCCACCATGATATATTCCACTCTTCTTGTATTTTTCTCTGCCTTGTCCCTAAAATCAATGACTTCTCCAAGAACACTTATTTATTTTATTGTAGGATAGTCTTTAGAAATACTTAGATCTGGTACCCGTACTAGGAATGGGAGCCAATCTGGGAAGTTATATTACCAGAAATATTATTTATAATATCAGAAAAGACTTCGCAGCAATATCACATTTAAGATGACACTTGAAGGATAAGTGAGTGTTATTAGACAAAAAGCAGTAGGAATAAGAGTTTCCTACAGAGTGAGTGCGCGAACGGGAAAGGAGGAGGGCGCTCCAGGCGAAAGCGCTGCAGACGCCATTATCCTCTGTTTCTCTGCTGCACCAACCTCTACGTCTTGCTTACGTCCCGCTTGTTTACAGCCTATAGGCTACTGCAGCACTAGGGTGTCAGGTGGTCCCGCCCAGAACACTTCAGTTCTGCTCTGCAAGGATATATAATTGATTGGTGTGTCCATATAATCCAAGAAAATGGAAACTGAACAGCCAGAGGAAACCTTCCCCAACACCGAAACCAACGGTGAATTTGGTAAACGCCCTGCAGAAGATATGGAAGAGGAACAAGCTTTTAAAAGATCTAGGAACACTGATGAGATGGTTGAATTACGCATTCTGCTTCAGAGCAAGAATGCTGGGGCAGTGATTGGAAAAGGAGGCAAGAATATTAAGGCTCTGCGTACAGACTACAATGCCAGTGTTTCAGTCCCAGACAGCAGTGGCCCCGAGCGCATATTGAGTATCAGTGCTGATATTGAAACAATTGGAGAAATTCTGAAGAAAATCATCCCTACCTTGGAAGAGGGCCTGCAGTTGCCATCACCCACTGCAACCAGCCAGCTCCCGCTCGAATCTGATGCTGTGGAATGCTTAAATTACCAACACTATAAAGGAAGCGACTTTGACTGCGAATTGAGACTGTTGATTCATCAGAGTCTGGCAGGAGGGATTATTGGGGTCAAAGGTGCTAAAATCAAAGAACTTCGAGAGAACACTCAGACAACAATCAAGCTTTTCCAGGAATGCTGTCCTCATTCCACTGACAGAGTCGTTCTTATTGGAGGAAAACCTGATAGGGTTGTAGAGTGCATAAAGATCATCCTTGATCTTATATCAGAGTCGCCCATCAAAGGACGTGCACAGCCTTATGATCCCAACTTTTATGATGAAACTTATGATTATGGTGGCTTTACAATGATGTTTGATGACCGCCGTGGCCGTCCTGTGGGATTTCCCATGCGGGGAAGAGGTGGTTTTGACAGAATGCCTCCTGGTCGGGGTGGGCGCCCCATGCCTCCATCTAGAAGAGATTATGATGATATGAGCCCTCGGCGAGGACCTCCTCCCCCTCCTCCTGGACGAGGTGGCCGGGGTGGTAGCAGAGCTCGCAATCTTCCTCTTCCTCCACCACCACCACCACCTAGAGGAGGGGATCTAATGGCCTATGACAGGAGAGGAAGACCTGGAGATCGTTATGATGGCATGGTTGGTTTCAGTGCCGATGAAAGATGGGACTCTGCAATAGATACATGGAGCCCTTCAGAATGGCAGATGGCTTATGAACCACAGGGTGGCTCTGGATATGATTATTCCTATGCAGGGGGTCGTGGCTCATATGGTGATCTTGGTGGACCTATTATTACAACACAAGTAACTATTCCCAAAGATCTGGCTGGATCTATAATTGGCAAAGGTGGTCAGAGGATTAAACAAATTCGTCATGAGTCAGGAGCTTCGATCAAAATTGATGAGCCTTTAGAAGGGTCCGAAGATCGGATCATTACCATTACAGGAACACAGGACCAGATACAGAATGCACAGTATTTGCTGCAGAACAGTGTGAAGCAGTATTCTGGAAAGTTTTTCTAAGACTAGTGAAGAACTGAAGGAGTCCTGCATCTTTTTTTTTTTATCTGCTTCTGTTTAAAAAGCCAACATTCCTCTGCTTCATAGGTGTTCTGCATTTGAGGTGTAGTGAAATCTTTGCTGTTCACCAGATGTAATGTTTTAGTTCCTTACAAACAGGGTGGGGGGGGGAGGGTGTGCAAAAACTAACATTGAAATTTTGAAACAGCAGCAGAGTGAGTGAATTTTAATTTTTGTTCATTGTTGGTGGTTAGAAAATTCCCCCTATGTAATTATTGTGAACACTTTGCTTTGTGGTCACTGTAACATTTGGGGGGGGGGTGGGACAGGGAAGAAAAGTAATAATAGTCCATATGTCCCTGGCATCTATTCAGAGCAGTGTGCAGAATGTAATGCTCTTTTGTAAGAAACGTTTTATGATTTTTAAAATAAATTTAGTGAACCTATTTTTGGTGGTCATTTTTTTTTAAGATGGTCATTTTTCAAATGGCTGAATTCCCCAACCTACCCCCAAAAAAAGAAATTAAAAAAAAAAAAAAAAAAGTTTCCTACAAAGAGAAGAGGTTCTGTAGGGGCCCTGAGACATTTGAGAAGTTGAAAGATTAGTAAAACAGAAGAGTTTTTTAAAATTATTTTTTTCTTGAGGTAACATTCGTTATTAACATCTAGATACCAGATGTACAATAGTATAATTTGATGTCTGTATACTCTTTTGGGTGCTCACAACCAAAAGTCTAGTTTCTATCTATTACCATTTGTTTAACCCATTTACCTACTTTGCCCTCTCTCCACTCTCTTTCTCCTCTGTAACCACTATTCTGTTGTCTGTATCCTTGAATTTGTTTCTATTTTGTTATATTTGTTTATTTACTACTTTTTAAAATATATTTTACATATGAGTTAAATCAAACTGTTTTGTCCTTGTCTGTCTGGCTTATTTCCCTTAGCATAATTCCCTTAAGATCCATTCATGTTATCACGAATGACAATATTTTATCTTTAAAAAATATATATTATTTTATTAATTTCAGAGTAGAAGGGACAGGGGAGAGAGAGAAACATCAGTGATGAGAGAGAATTGTCGATTGGCTGCCTTCTGCATGCCCCATACTGGGGCTCGAGCCTGCAACGCAGGCATATGTCCTGACTGGGTCAATCCTCAACTACACAGTCATGCCAGCTGGGCCAATATGATCACATCTTCTTTATCCATTCATCCATCGATGGGCACCTAAGGTTGCTTCCATATCCTGGCTATTGTAAGTTATGCTGCAGTTATCATTGGGGTGCATATATCTTTTTGAATTAGTGTTTTCATGTTCTTCAGATAAATACCCAGAAGAGGAATGGCTGGATCATATCTTAGCTCTAATCTCAATTTGCTGAGGAACTGCAATACTGTTTTAGAGAGGGTGAAAGGGAGTATCTATCTACCAGGGCTGTGGAGTTGTGACAGGTTTCCCTTTCTACAGAAGAGTAGCCTGTGCAGGTCAGGAGAAACTGAACAACCTCGGTGTCCTTGGGGAAGGCATGTCATAAGGTCACCACACACATCCACAGTGCTTGGCATTTCTCAGTTAACCAGGTTGTTGCATATATATCATTCATAATTAATTAGCCTCATAATTCATTGATTAATAATTTAGTAAGGACAACTGTGTGGTTTAGCTTCAAGGTGTGAAAGATCTGGGAGAAATTGAGTGAGTTGCCCAAAATTAAAAGAGTAAAAAGAAACAAAAAGACAAAGTAAGGAACTTATTTAAATTAATTATTTTCTAGAGTTTTTCCAACAGATGATTTATCACACAGGACGCAACAGACATGTGCCAATGCTAAAACTCTGGCTTGGCACAGTACCAGTAATAGCCATGTTTAAGGCCGAAACTGTAGAGGTGAGTTGATGGTGACTGTGGTCAATGTTTCACTGTATGTTTGATGGTGTGAGAATCTCATCAGAATAAACAGCAAGTATATGTCCTTACATTTAATTGAATTCAATACAATGAGGATTACATTAAATATCTAAAGCTGTGAAGGTGCCATTTAATGCTTTCCTGATATAGTGTGAGTTCTGGGAAGAGTAGCAGCTTTTACATGTCTATACGCATTTAGTATCAAGTAATATACTTGTCCTCCTTTTTGGGGAAGTCTTCAATAGAACAGAACCATAAATAGATTATTCTACAAGGTGAGCTCATATCATCTCCCACGCACTGTTTTAAGATTGCAAAAATGTAAGACTAATAAAATTTAAGTGTTTCCCTTAAGAGGCTCAGAGTATCCATTATACTTTTATGATTTCAAGTTAATTTTTTAAAAGAGAACACTAATGTGGTATTGATGGGAAATATGTTGTTAATAAACTCTATTGAAATTATGCCTAAAAATTATTTATCTTTCTTTTAGTTATTATCATGACATTGGGAGTATTATCTTATGGTTTGATGACAAAGGCTTTGTGTCAGGAAGTAAAAATGGGAAAAACAGACTTTCTCTTCATGGAGAAAAATTAACAGCAGTATTTCCTGGGGTTGTTGGGCTTGGATACATCTTTCTTACTCATTGTGGTAAAACTGTTGGAGTGTCTCTGGTACCACACTGCCCAATGTACTGGCCCAGAGGAGATAGCGAGAGGCCACATGTGGGATGTCAGCCATTGCTGGCCTAGTGTAAGTGGGCTTAGTACATATGGATAGAGATCTGTCCAAAGTAGGGAACTGCAGCAAGATCCTGAGAAGCATTTTGTGCATATGCTCATCCCTTCTGCTTTACTTTGGCTCCAGGCACCTAATTATACCCATGGTTCCCAATGCTACTTATATCCTGGAGACATTCAAATGTGTACCTAGTATAAGCCTCAATCCTGAACTTCATACCTGCTTTCAAACTATGGCAATTTGAATGCCTCCAAATCAACATACCTGATAATGAACTTGTGATTTCCACCTCCCTAAATGTGGTCATCCTTTGCTTCACCGACCTTCTCTTCCCTCACTCCTACCCTCAATAAACAACTCCACTTGACTCCTAATTCATGGCAGGACTCAGGGAATTATCTTGGTCATTTTCCTTTCAGACAACTCCAGCTAGTCTCCAAGAGTGAGAGACAGTGGTATGCTCCAAACTCTAATTGCATTTCTTTGAGTCATAGTAATGAAAATGAACCACCAAGAAGTAATTGTTATGAAATGTTACTTTGGAAAGTAGTTGTGTTCTAGCCCAGTATTCTTATAATTATGGTTGTGTTCATATATCTATCTCTCATTATGCTTTTCTCTCTTTCTAAGGCAATTTTAACTAGCTCAAAGGAAATTGACAAGTCTTATCTGTACACATTCCTACAACCATGGCTTGGCCTAGGACTTCTTACCAGGTAAGTCAGTGTAAATTGATAAAGCTGTCTTGTGCGTAACTTATGTCAGGCATCGACATGGGGTAGTTTTCCTGTAGCAAGAATGAGCCATTGAGTAGTAGGGAGAAACTGAAAAAGTTGGGTGATAATGGGCCTCTGAGAGACAGGAACTCAGGGTGTAGAGTAATCTCCAGCCATGGTATTCAATAATGCTGATCACCAGTGTTCCGAGGATAGTTAGAAAGTCCCATGTAGAAATGGAGTATGGCACAGGGGAGTTTTGAGCAGGGAAATCTTGAAAATTCAATTAAAAAGGAAGTGATCCTCAGAGAAGTAAGTTGAGCACAGTAACCTCAGTCCTTGAGCTGCCATCCAGCAACAGGACCCCATCAACTGAGAAAGAGAAAGCAGGACTTCGGTGGGGACTTTGGAGACTTTGAAGATGTTAGAGATCAAAGTAGACTCATGGAGCTTCTAGATTTTCAGAGGGTTAAGGTTGGGTAAAGGGGGAAAATTTCTCATCTTTGGAAACTCAGAACTTAGAAATTTAGTGAAATTCTTAAAATTTTCAATTTTGATCAGTGCTCTTTTACATATCTATATAAATAAAAATGTAAATGTTCGTTTGTTCAAAATCTTAAATCTTCGAAAGTTCTTCACTGATTGCTTTGAAATTTTGACACAACGTTGCATTCGAATGCACGTGTGTTTTTATATATGTATATACCTACTATTATATAGCTGTCACACCTGTGACAGGTAAAAACATGTCTTTTTTTGAAAAACAGCGCCATCTGTGGACGTAAAAGCAACACACGCTACACTAAATATTTTAAGATTCCATTTCAATGTTTCTGTTTACAATTATAAATTGTAGATAGAATTAACTACAAATATGCATGTCCAGCTGCAAAACGATCGATCAGCTGATATATTCTCACATCAACTGATGGAAATTGGGAATGGAAAGGTGCCGGTTGATCTGACCTCAGGACGAATTTCATTGCCTCATAACTTCTGCAATTTAGTGGTGTCAAAAGAAGAATTGGTTGAAAAAGCATTTCCCAATATTCAAACCAATTATAAGAATCACTATTGGCTGAGCAAACGAGCTATTCTTGCGGCCAAGAACAAAGACGTCTACGAACTTAACAATACTATTCAGTCTAACATTCAAAGCGAGGCAGTCACATACAAGTCCGTCGACACTGTTGTGGAAGCAGATGAAGCGGTTAATTATCCAATAGAATTTTTGAATTCACTCGATCCGCCAGGGATGCCACCACCCGTACTGCAATTGAAAATCGGCGTGCCAATTATCATGTTGTGAAATATCAGCCAGCCAAAGCTTTGCAACGGCACGCGGCTTGCAGTAAAAAAATTAATGAGCAACGTCATAGAAGCAACAATCTTGACAGGACCTTTCAAAGGTGAAGATGTCCTCATTCCTCACATTCCTATGATTCCAATGGCTATGCCATTTCAATTTAAGAGATTGCAATTCCCAATTCGATTGGCGTTTGTAATCACCATCAACAAAGCTCAGGGCCAATCTTTAGAATTGTGCGGTTTAGATCTAGACATGGATTGCTTCTCACATGGACAATTATATATTGCGTGTTCTAGAGTCAGCAAACCAGACAATCTCTATATCTGCACAGACAATGGAACAACAAAAAATATTGTATACCCACGAGCATTGTGAAATTAAACATATTAGAAACGTGCGCTTTCTCTTTTCTTTCTTTTCCATTTAACCGGACTGAGCCACAGCAATGCGTGGCCGGTACAGCTAGTTAGTTATAAAGAAGGATATCTAAAATATGCCCATTCTGTAACTGTATATGAGTCTCCCCTTGTCATTCTGACCAAAGCATTTGGGAATCTGTAGATTAAGAAGAATTTGTTGTCTTGACTAAGCTTTATTTGCTTTGCATGTTGCTTTTCTCTTCTTTGTAACCATGTCTTGCATTTCTAGTACTGGAAACAAATGGCGCTCCAGGAGAAAAATGTTAACACCCACTTTCCATTTTACCATTCTGGAAGACTTCTTAGATGTCATGAATGAACAAGCCAACATATTGGTTAATAAGCTTGAAAAACATGTTGACGGAGAAAAATTTAACTGCTTTTCTTACATCACTCTTTGTGCCTTAGATATAATCTGTGGTAAGTCTCATGGATTTGTTTCTAGAGCTGTGGTGTAAACGTAAAATGGCCCAAATAGAAAATAACATTTCACTGGGAAGGCAAATGAAGGGGTTAGAAAGGATATTGGCTTCTTTGGGGCGGTCCTTCTGCTAAATTAGGCTCCTGAGCAGCAGTACCCACTGCCAGGGCTTCGAGCAGAGCCAACCTGCCAGGAAGGTCAGAGGGAAGAAGGAGCATGAACAGGGAGTAGGAGAAACAAAGTTGCAAGAGTGAAAGGGGACAGGAACAATTCTAAAATATATAAGAATTTATCTCTTTTTTGAAGTGTTTGCCACTGGAAAATAAACACAAGGCATGTGCATGAATTGAATGGTTGCTTCTCACCCATATTTTGCAGAGACAGCTATGGGCAAGAATATTGATGCTCAGACTAATGATGATTCTGAGTATGTCCGTGCAGTTTATAGGTAAACGGAGCCCTTCTAATTATGTTTTAAATTGTTATTGATTCAAGCTTTAAAAATATCGCTAATAGTTTTTGGTCTGTGTTGTATCTTTTTCACAATGAAATATTGCATTAAAAATTAACCTAATCATTTAAGCATGTATTTTAACAGTAGAGGGTTTATTTTATAAATTATGGCACACCCAGGCTATGGTATAATTTTAAATGATTATTTTATGATATATTAAAAAATTACATTATGATGCTTATTGGTAAAATAAAGATAAAAACAATATTTTAACATGATAACCACTATGTATGAAAAATTATTCATTAAAAAAAACTTGTAGATATTTTTCCATAATGTTAGCTGTGATTATTATTTTGTGTTATATGCTCCTCTTTCTTGTTTTTGATGTTGTTATTAATTCTTTCTTCCCATATTTTCTGCACTTAGTGTGTGTTATTTTTTAATTGAAATAACATATTTACTTTGAAAAATTGCTTGAGATTATTCAACTATGAAAAGGCAGGGCCAGGGTTTGATTTAAGGAATTCTGTCTTTGAGTCCACTGCCCATTTCATTTTAACACATATTAGCATATATAATCTGCTATTCATCACACAAGATACTGACTAGTTTTATAGTGGTCCACAGAACAGAATAACAGGGAGACAAGCATCAAAACAAATAAGTATAAACTTATAAACTATAATAATTGCTTCAAAGAAAATATAAAGTTGATTGATATTCGAGAAGAAAACAGCAATAGGGCCCACAGATTGAGTGACCAGGAAAGGCCGCTCTGCAGAATTGACCTGTAAGCTGCTCTCAAAGGAGGAGATCATGTCTAGGTCTTTCTGCTCCATCACTGGAAATGTTGAGGAAGGGCCTCGGGGCAGGGATGTGACAGAGGGGCACTTTCCTGGAGAAGAGGACAGCCAGAGGAGTGATCAAGCAAATGCGTGGACATTAAACAGGCAGATTTCATCCCACCCTGTGGTATAAGAGCTACAGGCCGCTCGGGGAGGTCCAGAACTCTTCCTGGAGAAATAGAAGGAGAGGTCAGATGGCCATCTAGTAAGGTGTTTTGTACTGGATTCTTCATTCCTCTATAGGACCCATTTGATTTTTAAGCTTCCTAGGATGTGTAATAACCCATGCCTTCATTGTTGAGCATAAAGCATGGAGCTCTTAGTAGCCGCTAAGATGAATTATCATCGTTGCCACATATTACCCTCATTGATACCAGGCACTAAACAGGTACTCAAGGAATGCACGTTTTTGATGTATCAGCTGATACATTTGCATCCTGTTTATAGGATGAGTGATTTGATACATCGAAGAATGAAGACGATTTGGTTCTGGCATGACGTTTTGTACCTTTTGTTTAAAGAAGGATGGGACCACAGAAGGAACCTAAAGATCTTACATAATTTTACCACCAATGTAAGTCCTCATTTTTTTTATTGTGATCAAACGTAAATAACATAAAATTTATCATAATAGCCATTTTAAGTTTGCCATTCAGTGGCATTAGGGGCATTAACAATGTTGTGCAACTTCTACCACTATCACTTTCTACAACTTTTATAAGGGCATGACTCCTATGTTTGTTAACATACCCACTAGTTAATGTTCTCTACTGGGGGAGGTTAGTCTACTGGGGAGGTTGTCTATGAATAAATAATTACAAAATGTGATATGTGCTATAATAGTTTATTTAACAAACTGGGTGCTATGTTAAGAAAATAAAGACACTGGGAACTGTGTTATAAGAATCTTCTGTAAAATGTTTGGATTAGGCAATAGTTTTCTAAGACAAAGGGCATTTACAGCAGTATCTTAAACTGGAAAAGATAAAAATTAACTAGATATTACTATGTAATTGTTAATGACAAGGAAATAGTAATGTTCTGGAATATAGTCTGGGTTTGTGTTAAAAGTATGTTTATGAGCCAAAACCGGTTTGGCTCAGTGGATAGAGCGTCGGCCTGCGGACTGAAGGGTCCCAGGTTCGATTCCGGTCAAGGGCATGTACCTGGGTTGTGGGCACATCCCCAGTGGGAGATGTGCAGGAGGCAGCTGATCAATGTTTCTAATTCTCTATCTCTCTCCCTTTCTCTCTGTAAAAAATCTATAAAATATATTTTTAAAAAAAGTATGTTTATGAAAAGGCAAACTTTAATTAAAAGCATGCATTGTAATTTAAGTGTACTGATAAAAGTGCCGAAGTAAATATATTTATCCTTTGCTGTAATTTTAGTTTAAAATATGATGGCATTGCTTCCAGAAAATGAGGTATTGCCTCCACCAAAAGATCAAGTGGTTAATGTCCCTAGATGTTAGGTGAATGAGATGTTGGAGTGAGCTGCCATCAGTGAAGTATAGCATAATTGCCTGTCAATATGTGAACGGTGAACAGATTTATTTTATGGGTATAATTACACTTGTCTTCCAATTTCATGCATTAATATCAGTATCAATAATGGATGAATTTCAAATTGGATGGCTAATATAAAAAAACTAGAGGCCCATTGCTAGAAGATTTGTGCAATACGCCTTCCTTCCCCTGGCTGCCCGCACCAGTTTTCTTCAGGCACCCATGACCCAGGCCTTTGGCCCATCGACAGCGGAGCAGCCAAGCCTCAGGGCTAGGCTTCTCCACTCCTGCTGCAGCGAGGCTTGGCTTCTCCACTCCAGCCCCAGTGGAGAAGCCAAGCCTCTTCAGTCTTCAGTCTTCAGTTGTCTTCAGTCTTCACTCGGAGCCTTCAGTCTTCACTCTGCGCCTGTGTATGCAAATGAACCCGCTGTCTTTGCATAGTCATCCTGATTGGCTGGTGGGTGCAGCGGAGTGACAACCAATTTACATATTTTTTTTTATTAGTGTACATTCCCTACATTCCCTACTGAGTGCCAGGCACTAGGGGTTCCACCAAGAATCAAAGAGAAGACATGGTGCTTGCCATTATGGAACTTGGCATCTGTTCATTCAGCAGAAGCAGGTTTGGACAATTGCCCAAAAGGAGGAGAAAGTTGAAATGTGTAACCAAATTAAGCTCCTGGGCTTTCATACTTTTATTCATTCAACACATACCTGATGAACATTTTTAAAATGCCAAGCAGTGTTCTAAATGTTGGAAGTATATCAATGAATAAATTCAAATTTGCTGCTACATAGAACTTGGAGGAGAAAGTCACTAAATAACAAGTTCGATGCCAGGTGGTAAGTGAAATGGAAAAAAATGTAAAGTAGGCTTAGGAAGAGAGTGAGTGCTAGGGACTAGGGTAGCAGTGACCCTGACAGTGTGACAATGGGCAGTGGAGATCTAAAACTACGGAGGAAGCTAGTCATGCTGGCTTCGGAGGCAAGAGCATTCTAGGCAGAAGGAGCGGCAAGCGTACAGGGTGATTCTTTTCTCCAATACAACACGTAATTAGAGTGATCTATAATTAATCTATTATATAATGACTAGAGGCTCAGTGCACAAAATTCGTGCACAAGGGGGTGACCCTCAGCCTGGCCTACACCCTTTCGTATCCGGGACCCGTTGGGGGTTGTCCGACTGTCGGTTTAGGTCCAATTCCACAGTCAGCCATCCCTCTTGCAATCCAGGGCCACTGGCTCCAAACCATTCACCTGCCTGCCTGCCTAATGCTTCCAACTGCCCTCCCTTTCCAGGCTGGTTGCCCCAACTGCCCTCCCCTGCCTACTTGGTCATCCCAACTGCCCTGCTCTGCTATCCAGGTCACCCCATTGACTATCCGCTTCCGGCATGGAAGCCCCGAATGGCCCTTCCCTCTAGGCCCAATCACCTGCAACTGCCTTCCCCTGCAGCACCTGGTCACCCACAACTGCCCTCCCCTTCTGGCCTAGTTGCTCCCTACTGCCCTCCCCTGAAGGCCTGGTCGCCCCCAAGTCCCCTCCCCTGCCGATCTGATCTCACTCCTAAATGCTGTCTCCTGCCTACCTGATCGCCCCCAACTGCCTCTACCTTGGCCCCCACCACCATGGCTTTGTTTGGAAGGAAGTGACATCTGGAAGATGGCCAGTTGCGTCTAATTAGCATATTACCCTTTTATTAGTATAGATTGTGTTCTCTCCACTACCCAAATTTTCTCATGAGCTCTTTCAACTCACTCCGGCCCTATTCAGGAGATTACTACTCTATTCCCATGTTGGAGAGGCTGTAAAAATAGTGCTTGGAAATTATGTATTTGTCTGTCATTAAATTTGTTTTTAAAAGTCTTATTAAATAATGCCCTAAACATGTTCACAGAAAGCTTTACTATATTTTCAAATAACCTAACTTCCTGTTGAGTGAGACAGAACAGGAAAGGCTTAGAAAAAAATCAGTTAAAGAAGCTAGTACATTTTCACAGGAAAATGGATTATTAGGCCATATCAAATTCCACACAAAAGCATGTGATCATTTAAATCACACAGGTCATCAAGGAACGGGCCAATGAAATAAAGAGAGATAAAGAAGGTAAAAGTGATGACAAAGGCATGACCCTCTCCAAGAGAAAACGCAAGGCTTTTCTTGACCTGCTTTTAAATGTGATGGATGATGAAGGAAATAAGCTAAGCCTTGAGGCTATTCGAGAAGAAGTGGACACTTTCATGTTTGAGGTATTTTGCGTTGTCATGTTAGTATCAGGTATCATCATTAAACAAATTACAGTTCCTGTTACATAACAAGAAAATATTTGTTTTTAATCTTGGGAGTTGAAAATGCTAAGGATGAAGAAATAGCCAGCACTAATACTTAGACATGTTTAAGCATTTAATAGTAAAATTAGAAATAACATGAAATAGCAAGAATTATTTGTAGCCACCTTTTAAAATATGTTGGGATCCTTGGTATAAGGGATGATCTGTTCACAATTTCTTTTTAACGTAAAAAATAATATATAGGAATTCTTTAAAAAAGTTTTTAGCATTTTTTAAGTCTGATCACATTTTGAAGTAGCTTGTTATAACTGATGAAGAGTCATTATATTGTAGTGAGAAATTACAAAGTTCAAGACCCTAATTAAATACCAGATCAACTTTCTTCTTCAGAAAAAGCTGTAGGCTAGTATGGTCTTTTTTATTCTCAACATCAGGGAAGTTTTCTGTCATTATTTCTTCAAACAGGTTCTCTATTACTTGCTCCACTTCCTCTCCTTCTGGCACCCCTATTATGCAGGTGTTGTTTCCTTTCATGTTCTCCCAAAGCTCCCTTAGGCTCTTCTCCTCCTTTTTAAGTTTTCTTTCCAGTTGCTGCTATGTTTGTGTGTTTTTTCCTACCTTGTCTTCTAATTTGCTGATGTGGTCCTCAGCCTCTTCTAGTCTGCTATTGAAGCCTTCCTTTATGTTCTTTATTGCAGCTAGGTCATTCCTCATTTCCTCTTGATTCCTTTTCAAGTTGGTGACATTCTTATTCAGCTTCTTATAATTCTCATTGAGTTGTGTGTATTGGTGATCCAGACATTTGACCATCGTTATAACCATTACTCTGAATTCTTTCTCTGACAAGTTACTTGCCTCCATCTCATTTAATTATTTTTGTGGTGATTCCTTTTTTCTTTCCTTTGGGGATTGTTTTTATCTTCCCACTTTTTGTTGAAATGTTTTGTTTCTATGTCTTAGATCCAGCTGCTTTGCTACCCAGGTTGTTTTGGGGGTGATTGGTGATTTTTGGAACCCAGTGGTGCAGTCTCTCAGATCTCCTGCGCTTGGTAATCTAGCAGAGCCCCCTATTTGTGTTATTTGGGTTTTCTTGCTATAGTTGGGTCTTGAATGTTAGCTTATTTTTCATGGATGTAGTCCATCACAGATGGGCAATGTGACTCACCCCAGTTTCATTGTGCAAGCTGTTGTAGATGTGATCGCAGTTCCAGCTCTTGTGGAAAGGGTTGCCTGAGGTCTCACTATTATGTGCTCACTGTTAGTTCCCAGAGTGCATGGGCTTGGTCTTAGGGCCAAGGAAGTGGTCTTAGGGCCTTAGGCTCAGCTATGGTGACTTTGGCTGGTGTTGTCTGACTCTTGCTGGCGTAGTGTCTCTCTGTAACTCACTACGAGGCTCCCAGAGTCCGGGACAGTGGGGCGTGGGGGGCAGGGCGGCTGTCCTGTAGTCTGCAGTTGAGGCAGTGGGACTCTGGCCAAAGTGATTTCCCTCTCTGAATCACAAGAGTGTTCTGGAGCCATCAGCTGTGGTTGTGGGAATCTGGGAGTCTGTGGCCAATCAATGTGACCTTGTATGGCAAGACGAGTCCTCAGTAACTCACTAAGGTGTTCAGAGGTAGGCAGCCATGGATCCTGTTCAGGGAGCCATGTGACCTTGGTTGGAGGGGCACACACCCAATGGCAGCTCACAGAGGGGCCCAGGAGCCATACGGTGGAGCTGTGTTATCGTGGGGCCCACGCTTGGGAGCTGCACTGTCATGGTGTGCTGCTGACCCGGGAAGGGAGAAGTCCCAGTTTCTGCTTCAGGAGCTATGCACCCTTGGTTGGATATGAGCACCCAGCAGTGGCTTACAGAGCAACCTAGGAGTTACCTGCTGGGGCGGTGGACTCTGGTGGCCTGCGTCATGGAGCAGCACTATCGTAGGGATTGGATTCTGGCAGCCAGGGTCATACCTTATGGTGGCTCCGAGAGTTACCTGGGAGCCGCCTGCAGGACAGTGGACTCAGGGAGCCTGTGCACCTGATCGGTGTGACTGAGGTGACCGAAAGTCAGTAATCAGGGAGGGTGAAGTCTGAGGTACTGCAGCCAGGGTCTTCAGCCCTTGATTAGATAGGAGTGCACCCAGCAGCTGCTCACAGAGGCACCAGGGAGCTGTCTTCTTGAGTGGTGGACTCAGGAGACCTGCGTGCCGAAACCACATGACCACTGTGTCTGTGGGCAGTCAGCTAGAAATGGGGAAGTCCGAGTTTCTACTGCAGGGGCCGTGCATTCTTGTTTGGATACATGCGTATCCAGCAGTGGCTCACAGAGGCACCGGAGAAGCCTGTGCCTGGGCGGCTGACTCAGGGTGCCCGAGCACTGGTTCAGCATGACTGCAGTGTCTGGAGGTCAGCAGTCAGGGAGCGCAAAGTCCCACTTACTGCTGCGGGATCTGTGCACCCTTGGAGGTAGATGTCCTAGGGTCTGCAGGTCTGCGGTGAGGCAGTAGAACTTTGGCTGGTGTGGCTGCAGGGTCACGAATAGTGTCCACGGCCAGTCTGGGAGGTGGTGCTGGTGAATTCCTAGAGGAGGCTTCTCTCCCCTTCAATATGGCATGGACTCCCTTCTTGAGCCCCACAGCCCGGGGAGTGCCTGCAGCGGTGATAGGGGCGGCCTGTTCAGTAGAGCCTGGTCTGCCAGCCTCTGGTACTCCTGCTGGTTTTAACTGTCCCTCACTCATTCCCACACACACTGCACACATCCACACACTCCCCTGTCACTTCATCACTCAATCACACCCTCTCCCTCACCTCCATCTTACCAGCCACCATCTTCCCAGTTCCTTCTAGTAGGGCATTTAACCAGTTTGTGATTCTAAAGGGATTTCTTGTCTTCACATCAAAAAAAGGGATAAATTTTAAAAATATATAATTTTATTGATTTTTTTAAGAAGAACAAGATAGAAATATCAATGATGAGAGAGAATCATTGATTGGCTGCCTCCTGCATGTGCCCTGACCAGGAATTGAACCGTGACCTCCTGGTTCATAGGTCAACACTCAAAAACTGAGCCACAACAGCTGGGCAAAAAGATGACTTTTTTAAAAGATAATTTTAACTACACTAAATATTATAAAGAGAAAACCTCTTAACATGTGGCTTACCAAATAAAGATTAATAAATGGTTTTAAAAGGCAGCATATGGAATATCTTGGAAATTTAAGAAAGGGAAAGCCATCAGTGTTCAATGGCGGACTGCATGCACTGTGTTTTCTCTGCCTGCAGCCGCCTGTGTGCAGTTCCTCCCCAGGGAGGAAGCTCTGTGCCCTGTAGCAGGAAACAAGCTGTGTGAAGAGTCCACAAACCTGACTTCTCCCAGGTCTGTGCTGACTGACCGTACGAGACAGGCCCAGTCATTGCAGATCTCTGCCACAGTCCCCCTGTGTGGATTGTGGAAATATGGACTATATCAGTGGTTTGAAACTTCTATTTTAAGCATATCACTTCATAGAAAAGAAATTATGCATATAATTAGCCATCTAATTCACTAAAAAGTGGTCTGTGGGGAATTGAGAAACCAAGATGGCGGCATAGGTAAACACCTGAAATTGCTGCCTCGCACAACCATTTCAAAAATACAACTAAAGACAAAATGTCAGTTTGAAATATATATTACTTTAAAAGATAAATTAGTGGGTGACTGCTTTATAATAATAAAAGAAATGGCACCTTTGAGTTAATGTCCTCAGTGTCACTCAGACTTCCTAACAAAATGATCCCTGTGCAGTTATCATAGACTGATCTTGAGTTTCCCTGACTCTGAAAAATAAGTGGAAAGACCAACATATTTTGCTTAACAGAAAGGAGAAAGTGAAACCTCTCAAGACTACGTGGGAATCAGCAAAAGCCCCAAGCATCCACTGGGTACCCAGGGATTTATCATCTAGAAATCTCTGCAGGTGATGGACTACTGAATTGATGGTCTGTTCATTGTCACAGACAACTGTGGAACATGTTTCTGGACCAACTACTGACCTGTCACACAAATAAGCAGATTCTTGGACTATATCTAGAAGATCAAAATCTATTTCTAGCACCTCATGATATGCTTGTGTGTGTGTGTGTGTGTGTGTGTGTGTGTGTGTTACAAGCCATTAACAACCCTATGAATGAATGATGTTCACAATATCATGTTCTCAACTGCCCTGCTCAGCCCTTGTGTTGCAGAAGACCAAAGAAATATCAAGCACGCTTCCTAGTGAAAGGGAGGGGCCCAACCATAAAATTATTTTTGTTGCTACTTCATAACTGTAATGTTTCTACTGTTATGAATCGTAAGGTAAATATCTGATATGCAGGATGGTCTTAGGCGACCCCTGTGAAAGGGTCTTTCCACCGCAAAAGGGGTCGAGACCCACAGAGGGCCTAAGCTGATAATCCTTTATTGTTTACCAAATCTTACCTTTGATATGTGTGTTTGCTTTGCTAAAGGGCAAAATGTGTAAATAAAAAGCCTTGGGTCCGGAGATTCCGTGAGCACATCCCATGAGAAAAGGGTTTCCGCCTGGTTCTTCATGCCTTCCAAATTTATCTTTCTTTTCTGGTGTATCCATTTATGTCACCATATCCCTTCTCCAGATTCCTGAACCCTTGCTCCAAAGACTGTGGCATTTATTATTTTTCAAATACACTTTTTTTTTTTCTGAAGAACTTACCATTTTGCATGTGGAGTGTCCTGGTGAGATGAGGACAGGAAATAAGGGGCTGATGCCTAAAGACACTGCCTGGACAGAGAATAAGGTTGCCCAGGGTGTCACCATCAGTATTGGAGCTGGAATCTCCTTACCCTGGATCCTCCACGCCCGCTGAGGTGAAGAGTGTGGACTCTGCTTTGTCATCAGAAACTACAAGAGTCCTACTGTTGTCTCCACCTCCTATGAAGCTGTCGGGCCCTGGGAAAGCATCATTGGGGGCTCAGTTTGTCATCTCTAAAACGTGAATAGCAGTATAAAGTATCCCATGGAGATTTTTTAAAAACATGTATTTTTATTGATTTCAGAGAAATACATTTTCATTGAAGGAAGAGGGAGAGACAGAAACATCAATGATGAGAGAGAATCATTGATTGGCTGCCTCCTGCATGCCCCCTACTGGGGATTGAGCCCACAACCCCAGCATGTGTCGTGACCAGGAATCGAACCATGACCTCCTGGTTCATAGGCTGAAGCTCAAGCACTGAGCCACGCTGGCCGGGCTCCCATGGATTTTCTGTGAAGAATAATTGAGTTCATTTCTGCAAAATGTTTGGTATTTTCCCTCAAACTCAGTAAGGTTTAAATGGGGTATTTATCAACTTCTTGATGTGGAGACTGTTGCTCAGAACCACCCATATGCTACCTGGTGTTGCCTGGTGTCCAGGTAAAGTCGACCATACAAATGGGAGAAAGTGGACAAGTGCAGATCTGGCCACTTGGCTCAGGAAAGTCACACTTTATTCCCTCAAAAACAGTCCAGCGCATGGAGATCCTTTGGAATACCTCCTGTTAGCCCAGCCCAGCCACTCTCACCAAGTATGTGACTCTGTCGTATTGAATGTCCCTGTACCCAGAGGCATCCCCTCTGAAGGGATTGTTTCATTGGTTTGTTCCCCACAGAGGAAACATACTGTATAAAATTAACTTGTTCTGTCTGGGGTCACGTCACAGCTGTCAAATCCAGAGCCAATTCAAAGTAGAGCTAGCATTCCTAAATATCTCAATAGAACTCTGCTTTCTAAGCTGTTGTTTTTTTCTCTTACATTTGTAGGGCCATGACACAACTGCAGCTGGAATAAACTGGGCCTTGTACCTACTGGGTTGCTATCCAGAAGTCCAGAAAAAATTAGGCAATGAACTGGATGAAGTGTTTGGTATGTATGACCCCTTAACTACTTTCACAGAAGATCCCACGTCACTGAAGCAAATGGCAATCTTGCTCATGAAAAATGTGCAGTCGGGCCTGTTCTAAAGACACTGTAATAAGCAGGAAGGCTGCCATATGGTACCCCTTCCAGGGCTAATGTCCTTTGCAAGACCTCCTGCATTTGTTTACAGGCATTTGCTGATTGCTTGGCATGTGACTGCACCGGCCTAGATGCGGGGGCTACACAGATAAATGTCACTGTCCTCAAGGACCTCACGCTTCATAGGTGAAGCAGACACTGTATAGAAAGTATCAAGTCATGGCTGTGTGCTTGGGCGATATGAGGAAGAAGGGGCTAGTGGAGAGCAGAGAGGAAAGGTGAAGCTGGTTAGCAGGGTCAAGGAGAGCTGTTCCAGATAGGATTGCTGTGGGTTAAGCTGATGGGACATACATTTCTTTTGTACAACCAGTAACCTGTAGGTAAGGGGTCCTAGGCTGATGCCTGTAGGGATGTTGAGAGAATCCTGGACTTGTTCTTTTTTCTTTCTGTCATTTTCATCATTGTGGATTTTGTTTTCTTGATTGTGGTTCTGGGTCTCATGCTTATCTTTAAGGCAAGAAGAAATGAGAAGGGGGATGAAGGATAATATTAGTCTCCTTTGACTGTGGTCACAGATTCTGCAAACTGGGTGGCTTAGCACAACAGAAATATATTCACTTACAGTTCCGGACACCAGAAGGCCCAGATGAGTATCTCTGAGTTAAATCAGTGTGTTGGCAGGGCTGCACTTTTTGGAAGCCTAATGGGAGAATCCATTCCTTCTGGTGACTGCCAACATACCTTGGCTTATGGCCACATCATTCACATCTCTGTCTCCATCTTCACATCACTTTCTCTTCTCTGGGTGTGTGTCAGATCCCCTTCTGCTCTCTCTTATCATGACATTCGTAATGGCATTCATGGCCCACCTGGATAATCCACAATCATCTCTCCTTTTAAAGATCCCTAATAAAATCTTCAAAAGTACCTTTCCCCCAAAAAAGTAATATTTAAAGGTTCTAGGCATTAGGGCCTGATATATTTGTGGGTCATAATCAGCCTATCACAAAGGAACTGTGTATTGTGCCATCAACTTAATCCTTTGTTTATTCAGATGTCATATGGCTTCCCATGGCTGGGAATAGAAAGGTAAAGGTTGGCTTGGCCAACCAACAAAATAGTATCTGATAAATTTTCCTAGTGCAAAGTGGGGAAGGAATAATAAAGGAAAAGAGGAGGAGGTGGAAGACATTCTAGAAAGAGAGGCTCCAGTTGCACAATGGCAGAGTGGAGAACTGGGAAGATAACAGTAAGCATTAAAGGTCAGGTGGAATTCAGAACATTTGTTAGAACCCATTGAGGGTTGAAGTTGGAAAAGTAATTTCATGTCCAGATGGTGTGAGGACTGGAATTTCATACCAAGAGGGAAGACTTTATTTTGTAGAATGGAGATGATCTAAACTTCTGGGCTCTGTTTTTGTCGTCATTTCATTTTTCCTGTATCAAGTTGAATTTCTCTCAGATTGTGTCTGGTGGGTAAATTGGATGTTCTAGAAACCCAGGTTCTTTTGGAATGTGTTCCCACGTTTGTGTTTTTTACAATTTGTAGCCCAATGCAGGTGTCACAAATGGTTTTGGATCTCACATAATCAGTGACACCATTTTTACTAGAATTTTTATTCTGCTGCTTCCATGCTTTATGCTAATTGTGCCTCACTTCTCTTCTACCCCCAGTATTAGTTCTAAAACTTTCTTGAGCCACTGATCTTTGGATATTGAGATGTAATTATTCATTCCTTTTTTTTTTAACTGAGGTAAATTTAGTTTCATTATAACAAGCAACTGGTACACTTTTAATGTTTAAAATTGAGCATTATCTTTTCTTTCCAGTGAAACAAACAAAAAAAAATTAAATAAACAGGAACAAAATTACAATAGAGAATGATGGTTCCAAATAAGATTCTGCAAGCCCGCTATTCTCCCATTGAGTTGAAGGGCCCAAGCCATTATTAGAAGAGAATTTTATTTTAAAAGTGTCATCTTAAACTTCAAGAGAGTTCATTAAACATTACAAACATACCAAAGGGAAGACTTGTCAAAATGCCCACTTAACTAACCCCAAAATCTTATATTTTTTTTTTTTTTTTTTTTTTAGTTTAAAAAATGTTCTATATAAGAGAAAGTAGACAGGTATATGTTGGTAAATGCTAACTGTCCACATTCTCAGAGACACAGTGTAATCTGTGTGCTCAGTGTACAGAGAAAGGAGGAAGAATGCTGGAATTCTGTGCGCCACTGCCTCCAGCCTCCAGCGGAGCAAAGTAAGCAGGTTTTTCTTTCCCATGGAGCACAGGGGCATTGACTCCACATAGTGTTTGTTGAGGCAGGAAGGGATGAAAGTGAATCTGGACTTGTGTGCATGCATATGAGCCTAACCAATGCACACAGACACCAGGGGCTGAGGGCATACGTGGGGAGGGGGGGGGAGGAGGGCGGGGACATACGGGCGCAATGGGGAGATAAGGACACATATATAACACCTTAATCAATAATGAAAAATAATTAAATAAATAAAAATCAACGGAAAAAATTAAAAATAAAAATATATTTAAACGTAAAAAAAAAAAGAAAGTGAATTTGAAAGACAAAGCGTTAGAGATTCTTTTCTCACTATATTCTGCTCAAGGTATTTCCCTCCAAGTAAGTTGAGAACCAGATGTAAGGGAGAGAAAAGAATTCAAAAGAAGAATGACTGAGCCTAAGAGTAAAACAAAACAAAACAAAACCCAGACTTTAACTTGCTCTCAGTGACTGGAGGAAACTTTTAAAAAGAAGGTTGGAATCCATCCTTGTTCCTTAGTCACTGTCTCCTTCATCCTCATCAGCTTCTTTGTTGGTAGCTTTCAATCCTCTCCCTCTCCCCCTCCATCATCATCTTCTCTTCTCCTTCCCCATCTTCATCTTCCATATCAGGAAGCAAGTAGTAATGAATTGGATTTTGGCAAATACCACCTTCGATGATCTCTCCCAACTTATCTGCACCTGCATCAGAATGGCCATAAAACAGATTTTTGTTTCTCGGTCTCTTCCATCTTGCTTTATCCTGCATTGGATTTGAACATTTCATCAAACCCTTTCCAGATATTTTGTGGACTTTGAAAAGGCATCACGGCTTGCACTCAGATGAAATTCTTTGGGTGCAATTATTTTCCAAGGAAGGGTTTTCATCGAAATGAAAATCTGTTCTGTGACCTGATGTATTACTTTTCAATTCTGTACTACAACTCTGGTTAAATAACACAGTGCCTTTCCATCTGTCTCCCCAAGCAGTGAAGGCATAGAGATGATTGCAAATGTTGTTGCTCAAAAAGTTGGGATTTAGGCCATCAATTCTGAAAAACAGTGGTTGGCAGAATTTGTTATATGTCCACCTTCAGAATCTTCTCACTGGCTTGTTCATTGAGTTGGTCTGTCTCATTTTTTTCTTTCTCAATATGTTCAGTTGCTTCCTGCTTTGCTTCCTCCATAGCCCGGGCAACCAAGCCTCCTGCTTGCTCCAGCTCCATGGCTGCCGGCCGCCATCTTGGTTGAGTTAATTTGCATATAGTCACTCTGATTGGCTGGTGGGCATGGTTTGGAGACATAGAAAAAGTATGGTCAATTAGCATCTTTGTCTTTTTTTAGTGTAGATTCCTTTTTGATGTCTTATCCACCAAGCCCAAATCATTTTCATTTATTTTATTTCATATATTTACTTTGATCAGGGAATTCTCATCGCCCCGTTACCTTAGAAGACCTGAAGAAACTTAAATATCTGGAGTGTGTTATTAAGGAGACCCTTCGTATTTTTCCTTCTGTGCCTTTAATTGCCCGTGGTCTTAATGAAGATTGTGATGTTGGTGAGAATTCTTCCATGAAAGTAGTGGGTAGAGTGGACTTTTCTGTGTCTGTCTTGCTCTATTCTAATGACATATCTACTGCCTCATGACAGGGGGGTAC